AGTTAAAATATTATGAACCTGAATAGATTAGTGGTCCTGACATATGGTATAAATGCCTGCTTTAACTTCTCGACATTAGAACCAGTGCTTACTAATACTAACTGCCCTTTCTTGAAAAATTTAAAAAAAGGCAAAAAAGTAAACAAAACAAAAGGAAAGTCAAATTAAGAGCAAACGAGGTGGAAGTACCATACTGTTTAATTCGGCATCAAATAATATTCTTGCGGAGCTTCGTCGTTTACCACTTATAATGCACATCACTAGCTGGCGCGTGCCCTCGACCAATTCTTTTGTTTTCTTTACTTTCGAAATTAAACCAAAAAAAAAATGCTTAGCTCATAAAGGCTGTTACTTCTCTTGCACCATATAATTGGCTCCTCTTATCTCACCTGCTCTTCAATTGCCACACTTCATCTTTCACTTTCCTGTTGTCATCCTGACCAATGCAAGTGACCAATTAGGGAAGTCCAGAAAATTAAGTACTGGATCAGCTGTTGATTTATTATTGATCCTCAGTCCCATCATTTGAGAGGCTATTTTAAATATTTAACTCTCGGATTAATTATTTAAAACTGGTCTCAAAACACTCTCGAGAGAGTATAACTTCTCTTCAAAGGCATATATTATGCGAAAAAGGGGGAAAAGCAGGGGATCAAACTTGAACTAAAAGGAAGCAGAGAATAATGCCGCTTGCTATTGAGACTCTGAGTATGAAATCTTACTCAGATGAGAAAAGGCCCTAAAATACTGGCAGGGAAAAGCATTTACTAATAATTATATTGTGCAGGATAATGACGTTTCCTTCCAAAGGAGACACTTCTCAATCTATGACAAATTATTGAGTGACACCTGGCTTAATTAGTTTTATATGTTGGCCTGGCAATATCCTTCTCCTTATACCCGTTTCTTAATCCTTTTTACCTTGATAACTTTGAAAAAGAGAAGTGAGGGATTAAGGAGGCCGGACTTTTTTTTAAATCTTTTATCGTGGAGCCTCTCTTCATTTCAATGAAAAAATCCTCAAAACAAACTCCCTCCATTTAGCAAAAAATGACCCGATCTATGACAAATAAGTCGTGTTTAATTATGACGTTACTAATTAATACCGTAAGGAATCAACCTGAAATCATGATGTGTGCAATTTTTGCCCGGGAGTTAAATTCAAAACTATATATAAAGAGGTGAGGAGTCTTCATTATTACCTCAGGAAAAAGGAAAGGAAAGGAAAGGAAAGGAAAGAAGGAGGCATTGAGAAGGAAAAGGAACAGTCATATCACACATACGCGGTGGAGAGAAGGTGGGAAAGGCATATGCTTTGGAAGATCCCAAAAAGGTACCTCCGCTTCACTCGCTTTTTCCTTTATACCTTATTTTTTAAATGTTGCTTTAACAAAAAGTCACCTTCTACACTAGTTACTTAAGTGAAGTCATCTCAGCCTTCTATTGCCGTCGCGATCAAAGAAGCAAGCAAATCCTATAACAACCAATCTTGCCCTCTTGCTCAAACCCTCTTCCGTCTGCAGCACCATGTGAATCCTTAAGCTTCCCAGCGCCCTCCCTCCATTGCCCATGGCTTCTGTGCATTTGGGCTTTGAGGGGGGGTGGTGAAGAAGATGGTGGACCATATAAATGTCCCCGCACATGTACACCATCTCACTGTGCCACTATACTTTCAAAGCTCTTCTGCTCGTAAGGTGTGGAGCAGCGAGACTAAATAAAGATTGCTGGGAATGGACCTCCTTCGTGTAGGCGAATTCTCTTTTAAAGGGCAACTTCGATCCTTTGGCATTTTCAACAACTCCCTTGGTCTCACTTCACTCTTCTGTGATCTGCGTCTCGAGGGAGTTTCCAGGAAGGCGCGATTATTTCCTACTTTGTATTTGTACTTTCCTGCTCTCTTTTCTGTTCTGTTTCTGCAGCTTCTCAGTAAACAAGCTATTATAAGGAAGACGAGTTTCGATCTTATGAACCCTTCTTCTTGCAATATTATGTGGTTCAATTAACCTCCGTATCAAGCATGAACAGGAATCCTCTTCCTCAAATCTGCATATTCTGTGGGTTTTTCACAAACCTTTTTGTCCTTTTTACCTCTCTTATTTCCCCTTGAACATGTAGGATCTTGTAATCTGTTTGCTACTAGGTGACATGCTAGTTGATACAGAGTTTTATACTTTGGAGTGATATCATTGACGTGTAATGACTGGCTAGGTTTTCATAGTAATTACCAATTCTTAGCTTGCGATTGGTTGATTGATCCTTTGCCGGTCATTGGTCAATCACAAGTCAAAGCGGGTCCGAGTGTTTCGGTTCCGCGTTTTCGCAGTCATTTAATTCCCCGAATATGGATTAATTGAAAAATAATACCCTCCTTAATATAGAACCAATTATTGAGTTGATTTTAGTCTAAAATATAATATTTATAATATCATATTTTTTTTAATATCTATATAGATACTCCTTCAACCATAGTCAACTAGAAAAGGAGGGAGAATATTAAGAAAGATTATTTAGTTTTTAGAAAAAACATGTCATATTTTTTAATAATTAATTAACTTACCTAACTTTTTAATCTAATCACATTAATTAAATACTACCTCCGGTCCTAATTATAAGACTAGTTGACTAATTTGAGAAGATTAAAAAAATTAAATTAGTTATTTGTAATAAATAGGTGGTGTCTTTTCTAAATATCTTTACTAATCAAGGGTATTAGTTAGAACTATCATTGTTAGAAGGACTATCTTAGGAACAAATGCATAACCTAACTTTTTAATCTAATCACATTAATTAAATACTACCTCCGGTCCTAATTATAAGAGCTAGTTGACTAATTTGAGAAGATTAAAAAAAATAAATTAGTTATTTGTAATAAATAGGTGGTGTCTTTTCTAAAATATCTTTACTAATCAAGGGTATTAGTTAGAACTATCATTGTTAGAAGGACTATCTTGGAACAAATGCATAAATATGGGAGACAGAGTGGATTGAGGTCTTATATTTAGAACCAAAATAAAAATCAAGTAGATCTTATATTAAGGACTGGAGGTAGTATATCTTATATTAAGGATTGAAGAAGTACTACAATTCGAGTCGAAAAAATCCAAACTAACTACTCATCTAGGCTCTGGTTTTATTTATAAAATATTTTCAATATGTTCATCATACAGATAAAAAAAATTAAATTACATTAACTCTTCATTAAAATATAATAATTTTTTTAATTTTATCTGTATCTAATATATACATCTTTCAAAAAAAAGTATTTACACTATAATAAATAAGAAATAAAAAACAAAATAATATATTTACACTAAAAATTTAATAAAATGATTATTAAGAAAAACATTCTCTCCCGAAAACTATATACCAATATCACTTCCATCCTCTACCTTGATTTGAATAAATATAGCTTGGTGTCACATGTGCTGTCTTGGTAGTCAATCTCTATTGTTTGCCAAATTCAAGGCGCATAAATTTGCAGTTTCTTTTCCGGCCTAGTGGTTAATTAAATATTTTGTGTTCTTACCGCTCTACTACTGTCCGGGGTTCGCTTAAAACAAAAATTAAACTGTTCTTGTATTGCTGCGGTTATTTGAATTTGATCGCTTCAGTTGAGATTTTATTTATTTTCCCAGACATGTTTGTGCTTAGTCAGATTAGCATTAAAGATAGTGGTATATAAGGCATTGCATTTCTTTAAAAATGCAATATAAGTCAAATACATACATGTGCATTTTGTGCTCACTCACTCTTCAATTTGCTTCACATGATTCAACACTAAATTAAATGACGCAGATATAGGATAGGCCGACACTTATTATGATTAAATATTTCAATAATCGCTGCCTGGTTACCCACGTGTAGCAAAGTGTTATTACTTTAGGCGTGGCACTCAGAAATCAAATAACCAGTGATATAATCCATGATTGGCCGATTGGATATTGATTTATTTGTAATATAAAAGGCCCACCGCTATTTTTTTTTTTGAAAAAAAATGAAGTCCATGCTTTAAGGAAAATGAAAAATCGTTATAAATTTTACTGCTTCCATAGTACTCCTATTCTTGCTGGATCTACGCGCGTACACACGCACAAAATTCCCGACATTGGGCCCATATCTTAAAATGAGGTCATGATCGTTCGCCCGTTCTCCATTATTTATCTCATTTTCATTGATTTTAATATATATTACTCTCCGGTCTTTAATACAAAACTTATTTAATTAATTTGATTAGATTAAAAAGTAGGTAAGTTAGTTAATTATAAAAAATATGACATGTTTTTTTCTAAAAGATTAAATAATCATCTTCATCTTTATATATATCCTCCATCCCTCACTTATTTAAACTATGGTTGAGAGAAATATCTATAAGGACTAATACTACTTACGTCCGGTCCTAATTATAAGAGTTAATTGACTAATTTGAGGAGATTAAAGAAGTAGGTAAATTAGTTATTTGTCCTAAATAGGTGTTGTTTTTCCTAAAATATCCTTACTAATCAAGTGTATGGGCTAGAACTATCATTGTTAGAAGGGTTACTTTGAAAAAAAAAGTATAAATATGAGAGACAAAGTGGATTAGAGTCTTATATTTAGAATTAAAATAAAAGTCAAACAGGATCTTATATTAAAGATCAGAGGTAGTAGTTTAGAAAAAAATAATAAATTAATATATATTAATTTAATATTTTATATTAAAGATCCGATGAGTATATTTGAAATCCTTTATACTTGAAATCCTTTTATACAAAATTTATAAACGACCGGAAATGATATTTGTTTAAGAGGCGAGCCCAACATCGAGGAAAACAAACTAACGCGGACCAACAAGATGGGCCTAACGAATCCCGGGGATTGTTAATGACGATCCAAAAGGTATTGAGACCAAATGGGGGGTAATTCTGTAACTTCTCGTGTGTTTCAATTTCCTAAATTAATTTACAGATCTGCCACTTGTCCCTTTCCCAATTCCGAAGTTGCCACCCCATCCGGTCTGGTTCTCTCTCTGTTCCGCCTTCTTCAATACCGGCGAGTGGACTCGTGGACACGACTCGTTGCCTTCCTCACTCCATTTCTCTTCGGATCAAATCAATTTGCAAGGCAAAGGTTTTTACAGCATAGCGAGCAGTTGCCCAAACCCTACATTAACTATTAGGAACTTTCTCTCTCCTCTGATAGTGATCCGCACCAATTTTCAGCTTCAAGGGCCTCCTAGTATATGTGTGCTAATTTGTTGCTTGATTCTCTAGGGTATCGCTATATTTTCTTGTCTTTTTGTAGTTATAGTTTCTGATTCCTGACTGAGTTCAAAGGGGGCATGAAGCAAGAATTGGAATCGGAGATTGCTCTCGATATTCACTCTCTGAATCAATGTGATGAAGTCGTTCCTACTCATCCTTCTGAAATTGACGCTGGTTTAGAGTCTCAGTTGATGTTTTCTGTTGAAGTTTCTGAGAATCCCGGGGGTATAGTTAAGAGTTCTGTTGCAAATGGTTATATTGTTTATACTCGAATGAAGAAGTCTCGGCATTTGTGCAATGGGTCTTCTGAGAACGGGTCACTTAAGAGACTCAAGACCTCTGAAGATCGGGACTCAAATGCAGACCTTCCAGCTGTCGGTGGCGGAGATGATGTAGGGGTAAATAATGTAGAAAAAAATTTCGAATCTGAGGTTGTTTGCCATTTGGAAAAGGGTATTAGGTGTACTGAATGGAAGAACGAGCCCGCGCAGTTTCTTGCTGGGGAAGGTGGCTCCAATAAGGCTCCTGCTGAGCTTTTTAACAACAGTGAGGTACAGAAAAATGTAAATATAACAGTGAAGCGGTTTACGCGATCAGCATTGAAGCCAAAGGTTGAATGCAGTGATGAGACGGCTACCGCTCCAGAAGCTGCGCAGACAGCAAATAATAGACCAGATGAGAAAGAGACTGCTGCTTTAAGTGCATCAACGCCGCGAAGTAAGCTGGAACTAAAAATGTCCAAGAAGATCGTGCTCAGCAAGAAGCCTATGACTGTCAAGGAACTCTTTGATACTGGTTTACTGGATGGGGTTTCAGTAGTTTATATGGGCGGCAAGGTTAGTTTTTACCTTCGCTCATTACATTTTGAGGTGATGGATTGTGTGGCGTGCCCAAGCTGAATTCTAGCTACACACATCCATGCGCTGAAAATGAAGCACGGTTAATTCCGGGTTGTAACAGATTTTATTTTACGTAGCTTAATTAATAATTAATAATTAATTAATATGTCGATAATAGTAATTTACAAATATAATACGTAACGACTGAGTAATTGACTGGCTTTCAAGGAGAAGCATAACGACTTACGAGTCGATAGCCTTCTATAAAAAGGCTTGGGCCGGTCTCTCAAAAGTAAAGTAGTATCTTTGAAATGTAGCTTTCACCTCCGTCGGGTTTAATTTTGGCAATTTGGCACGTTATCATGTAGGCTTCTGGCCTGCGTGGTGTTATTGCCGATGGAGGGATCTTGTGCTCTTGTTGTCTGTGCAATGGGCGCAAGGTGAGTTATGAACTTATGGTATCGTCTTGTATACTCAGCGTTCTTTACTTGATACTGTCCGTTCGTTTATTTTTCCCTTGTATCTTTTGCCTTTGAAGGTTATTCCGCCTTCCCAATTCGAGATTCATGCTTGCAAATCATATAGGCGAGCAGCACAGTACATTTGCTTTGAAAACGGAAAGAGCCTGCTTGAATTATTGAGAGCATGCAGAGGAACTCCGCTGCATACATTGGAGACGACCATTCAAAATTTTGTTTGTTCTCTACCTCAAGAGAAATATTATACATGTAAAAGGTGCAAAGGTGAGCTTCACTTTTGTCATTTGGGGTCATTAGTTTTGGTTGGTGTGGTTGTTATGTGCGCCAAGGTCATCAGAAGCCAAAATTAAATTGAAAGAGTATATCTTACATGCAAAGGCGTACTTTTTTTATATTTAATTGTTATTTTTATCATAATTATTTTCCACAGGATGTTTTCCCTCTTCACGAGTGGAGAAAGTAGGGGCTATCTGTAAAACTTGTGTGGAATCAAAGAAATCTGGAGACAGTTTTAGTGACACGGTTGGCATAAGAGTCAGGTAGTAATTTCTTCTTTCCTTTGGGTTAAATTAGGTCATTTGCTTTCATCTGGGCAGCATCCAAAAATCCAGTAATATGTTTTTATTGACAGAAATCTCGTAATAAAATTTTATCATAAGGAATGTCATAAAATTTCTTAATGATGTAACAAATTATGTTTGCGTTCAGTATGTAACAAAAGATATCTTATTCTTAAAGTAAATAACTGTGAAAAAGAGAAGTGAAATGATATCATGGTATGGAGGAAAGTTTTCTCTTCACAACACTCTCGCTGACACACATGCACGCACTTGTAGCTGTTGCGTCTGGCTTCCAGTGAGTGTCTCATCATTTTAAGCATGAAATGGCCCTAATTTGAATGTAGCTGTTACTGCTTTCGTCATTTTTTCATAACTTGTCAGGTCTCCAAGAGCAGTTCCAGCCTCCAAACCGTTGACTGATACTGAGCTGTGTAACTCGTCACAAATTAACAAACATTGGAAGAAAAGAACAAGGTTGGTTTTTATATCTGCATATGTTATACAAATCTGTGCTTGCCAATAGCCTTTTTCTTGGTTGTGAGTTTCATTGAGTGAAATTTTTGTTAATTGTTATGTGGTTGCTAACTTGTTGCAGTTTTTATTTATTGATTGTTCTAACCCTTATGCTGCTGACTGTGTTATTCAGAACAACAAATCGGGTTAGCAGCTCAAAGTCTTCTGAGACTGCTTCTTTGTCTGTCCTGTCACGAAAGAAGTCTCCACAGAGGTTGAAGAAGAAGTTCGTATCTAGCTTTTGTCTGTTGGCAACTTTGATAATGTGCTTCTTGGTGAATTGTTGACAGAGAAACTTTTCTCTTTTTTAATTTTTTATTTCTAGGTCAACAAAAATTTCAGTAAAACTGGAGACCCCACTAATTTCGTCAGACTCAAAGTGTTTATCTTCACAAGATAAGACTCAATGGAAGATCACTAAAAAGTTAGTTCACCTCTTCCCCTTTGATATTCGCATATTTATCTGGTTGTTCCTCCTTTTGTTTTAGCAACGATAATCACTTTTAATCCAATGTTTTCTTCTCAAGGGATCAGCGGTTACATAAATTAGTTTTTGAAGAAGGTGGATTGCCTGATGGAACAGAAGTAGCTTATTATGGACGTGGACAGGTTGATTCTCTGTCTAATTCATGTAAAAGTTTATGTAATTCTGTCTGTCACTGTGTTGATTGATAAATTCTTATTGATAGAAATTGCTTGAGGGTTACAAAAAGGGCTTTGGAATATTTTGTCGGTGCTGCAACACAGAGGTATTTGTTTTTAATATTTTTCTTGCAAATCTGCTGGTGCTCCTTAAAAATCAGTACGTTGTACAAATGAGTTTTATCTTTGAATTTTCTGTGCAGGTCAGCCCATCACAATTTGAGGTCCATGCAGGCTGGGCTTCTCGCAGGAAACCGTGAGCTCTTTTCTGTTTACTTTTTTTTATTTTTTTCCCTTGGGAAGGTGGTTGGTTGGATATTTGGCTGCTTTTTCCATTGATTGTCCCTTGTGTCTGTGGGTTTTCATGAAAGTGCTATGTTTTTGGGCAGTTATGCATACATCTACACTTCAAATGGGGTGTCTCTCCATGAATTAGCAATTTCTCTTTCCAAAGGCCGCAAGTACTCTGCAAAGGACAATGATGATCTTTGCATTATTTGCTGGGATGGTGGAAATCTGTTGCTTTGTGATGGATGCCCAAGGGCATTTCATAAAGGTCAGATATATATTGGGTTTAAAAAACAAGAAAAATAATGGACATGTTTTCTATTCGCTACTTACTTTGTGTGTTATCAGTAAGTTTTCTTATTAGTTGACCTCTAGTGTTTCACTAAGAACTTCTATTATCATATCACCTTGGTTGTTAATGTGAGAGTTTCTATAATGATGCTGATATACAAGATGCTTAGAGTAAAACAAAATTGACTGTGAGACTCATGATTATTGATTATGTATATTGCAAAAGACCTCGTTTCTCAATCTGATCCGTTTCATGTGCATTTCGAGTTTTGATCCTACTCTTTCAGTAAGAGATATGATGGAGGAGGAGGAAGAAAAATGCAAGTTTATACCTAACCTCGGGCATGCCTTCAGATAGTTAGAATCTATGACTGTATTATTACTGTTTTTCTCAACCTATAATTTTGCCCACCATTTGCTGATTTAGAAACTACTTTGAAGCAGACATTTTCTTATGTTTCATACGATGAGATGGTCATCATCTAAGTATACCATTTTGTTCCATTGAAATGCACAGAATGCGCATCTCTATCAAGCATTCCACGCGGTGACTGGTACTGTAAGTTTTGCCAAAACATGTTCCAGAGGGAAAGATTTGTAGCGCACAATGCCAATGCTGTGGCTGCTGGGAGGGTTGATGGGGTTGATCCTATTGAACAGATAACCAAGAGATGCATTCGCATTGTCAAAGACATTGAAGCTGAGCTGAGCGGCTGTGCTTTATGCGGGTAATAATTCAACCTTTAGATTCTAAGTTCATCTGGCTATCAGCTTATGTATCTTCGTACTGATGCTTGTACTGAGCAATTACTACCATGTTTACTGTTATATTTGAATTATTTATCCATCTTGCGAATTTCCACCGTAGCTATATATTGTAAAGAGAAAAATTTTGCTTGTAGGGGTTATGACTTCAGCAAGTCAGGATTTGGTCCTCGCACTATCATACTATGCGACCAGGTATGCACGCTACTCTCCTTCCCACCCTTCTCTTCTTAAAAGCCACATTCAAGGCATCAAATATCTCCAAGAAATATATTGAGTTTTAGACTTTCAGTGGGTTCGGGGATGAGCACCACAGTGTTTATCTTTGTGGTGAGATTTAAACCGTCCAAATCCAATTTCAATAGTCTAGATTTTAAGGTTTTCAATTGATAATTTTTTGAATGAATTTTTTTTTTCCCTCAAAATGATAATTAGGAGATTATCTTTATTTTTAGATTTACACCAATTAAAATTATTTGTTATTAAAAATATAAAAATAAAATTATATAATATCTGGACCATCTAATTTTGATTTGGGCGGTCTAGAGCGGTGCACCCAAACTTGTTCCATGTCGGTGTAAAGCAGCATGATGAATGGTTTTTTGGTTCTTCATTGGATGCAATTATACAGATCACATCTGTTTCTATTAAATTAACTGAATATGGACTTTGGCCCCTATGATCTAACCAAGGGGGGGAAAAAAAGACGTGTTTCTTATCTCCCTCTTTTCTGGGTCCAGTGTGAAAAGGAATATCATGTAGGCTGTTTGAGGGATCATAAGATGGCATATTTGAAGGTACGTGGTTTATTGCCATCTTTTCTTGTTGATGTATTGGTTTAGACGCTGATCTCTCTTTTCCGCTGAACTTGTTATGATATGACTGGAACTATTAACAGGAATTGCCAGAAGGAAATTGGTTTTGTTGCACTGATTGCAACAGAATACATTCTACTTTGCAGAAGTTCTTGGTTAGGGGGGCTGAGAAACTTCCTGACTCTCTCGTGAATGTTATAAAGACAAAGCAAGAGGAAAAAGGTTTGCAGCCTTTTAATGACATTGATGTAAGATGGAGGCTTCTTAATGGCAAAATTGCTTCTCCTGAAACCAGGCCATTGCTATTAGAGGCTGTTTCAATCTTTCATGTAAGTTGTGCTTGTTCTTCTGGCCTTTTTTCCAATCTCTGTCTTTTTGTTTTCATCCCTTGCGGAGGTAACAAAACAATTATTTGTTTCTTGAATGACTGGTAGATCTGTTATGCGTTCTCACCCAGGTCAAGCCTTATTTTCATAGCTGTCTTGATAAAGTGTCTTTTTTGGATTTGATTTTCCTTGATCCGGTCTGATTGCAGCTTGGTTGATTTGTGATTTAACAATATTGAAGAAATTTTGGAGGAACTTATTTACAGTAAACTGCTGAACTAATATTTCACCTTTTGTATAATCCACGTGAACACATTTGTCTTATGATCTAATGATCAACTCCTTGTTGCCTATATTCCTGATGGCCGTGACAAAAGCTTACGTCAATTGTAATGGTTTTTATTCGGAGCCCAGATTCAGTTGCTTGGGCACATGCGGGTTGCAAGCCTAGTTCTCTTTTAGTACTTTTTTATTTTTCCTTCAGGAACCTCTTTGTATCTGACAATTTGCATGCTTCAGGAATGCTTTGATCCTATAGTTGATTCAACTAGTGGACGTGACCTTATCCCAGCCATGGTTTATGGGTAAGAAAACACGTTTTACTTAAGTTTTTTTGGCCCTATTTGTTTACCATCTGTTTGCTTTTCATTTTATAATCAATTTTTTCCCGTTGCCTTGATTAACTTATGTCTCACTTTCAGAAGGAATGTGCGGAGTCAAGAGTATGGAGGAATGTATTGTGCAATATTATCGGTCAAGTAAGAGAAGTTGTTGTGTCTTCCGTTTTTAAATTTTATCACTTACAGTGCTGTTCAGAGTTTGTCTTCTTGATATTGCAGTTCAACTGTTGTATCAGCTGGCATGCTTCGAATTTTTGGTAAAGATGTGGCTGAACTTCCTTTAGTTGCAACAAGCAATGGTAATCATGGAAAGGTACGAGAATGTAGTGGTGCGGGATCCTGTGCTCTGTGCTGGAACCCCCCCCCCCCAGTGTATTTGTTGTTATTTAACTTGGTTAAATCCGAGGAAAGCATGGACAGACACTGCGCTTCTATGGACTAGGCAAACACGGCGTAATTTGAGATGTTATTAGCCAAAAAAAAAAAATGAAATGATTACTTGTTTAACCCAAAGAAAAAAAAAAGTTGACGGGTAATATAAACTGTTGCCTAGAGTTTTATGTCCAATGTGTCAAACACGTGGACATATCAAATGTTCACATTCAATGTAGTATTGACTAGAATTTTTTAAAGCGTGTGTGCTTTGTAAGTGGTTCAAATCGCCTCCTCATGCTCAAGATTTGGGAGGTGTTTGGATGGAATCCAAATTATGATTTTAAAAATGCTTTTATGTTATACGAAGTAAATATATAGAGGAGTTTGACCCATTTTGTGAAAAATTGCTTTTTAAAAGACCTTTTACTTGTTGCCAAACACCCCCTTGGCCTTTATGCATTCCGGAATTTTGATTTATTGTTACTGTGTAAGAAGTGCATTAACTTTTAATGCGTGGGTTCACCCTGACAGGGCTATTTCCAATTACTCTTCACCTGCATTCAGAGACTGCTGGCATTGTTGACCGTAAAGAAGCTTGTGCTACCAGCTGCTGAGGAAGCAGAATCCATATGGACAGATAAATTTGGGTTCCACAAGATGAAACCAGAGCAGGTATATATCACATCGTTTCCATCTACGCCTTCCAACTTGGTGGCTAACATTTTTGTCACTACTACTACAATTCATAGCAATGTGATGCAACCAGGTTTTATTATGGCTGATATTTAAGATGTCCCTTTTGCTGCAGATTAGCGACTGTAGAAGGAACTACAGTCAGATTTTGACATTCCAAGGGACATCCATGCTTCAAAAAATGGTTCCGCCCTGTCAAGTCTTGAACGTGAAAGAGGAAAACTCTTAGTTCTTCTGTTTTGTTTCCTTGTCTTCATCCTGGTCATGTATATAACTTTCTTTGAAGGCATTCTGGAACCCGGTCCCATCCAAGTGTCCATGGTCAATTGTTTAATCAGTTATAATGTCATTTTCCCATTCTAATTTTGATTGATCTCATAAGGAGCATAAGCTCCGGGAATAGAGCAGGTTAATTATATGTTTAATATTAATTACCGAATTTAATTTGAAATCTAAAAAGTAAGCCCAAAGAGTGACAATAGGAGATAATTGTGGGATAAACAAAGATAATGTAAGATATTGGAGATAATAGGGGGGATGTATCCGTACAAATATTACATTGCTAACAAGTTTCTTTTTCAATTGTACCCAAAAAATATCAGAGAACGAAAGGAAATCGTCAAAACGGGCGAGTACCTAGAGGCCGTAGATCAGAGGCCAGCTTTTCATCTAAAGCAACATTTTATCAATTATTTTTTCATTTTAAAAAGTTAACAAGAATAAAATTAAAATTCGCAACTTATAAACAACCCTTCATATTTTTGAAGAATTTAAGCCTTGAAAATATAGTGCAAATGATCAGATGTCTTTTCTTGTAATGAAGGCTTCAATATTTTGTTTTTTCTGTTACGTTAGAAGTTTGATGAAGCTAGTTGCCTAGTTGCTTTGCTAACTTTTTTTAGCAAATTAAACTCCCTTTTTTTATCTTATCATTAAATTCTATATTCTATCCAACTTCACTAACTTCCTCTAGACGTAGCTTCAAAGGATGCCAACGCTAATTGGGCTATGCTGGAAACAGTGACCGTAGCAAGTGTGTTAGGCACGTTTGCGAAACAAGAAAATTGAGCCCAAGTGGCCTTTTAGTTACTTCATCTTTGCTTTTCTGTGACGTAACGCAAACGCCTGCTCACTTGCGTTGCTGCTCATCTGTTTTACCTATCAAATTCAAAGTTCACAGGGACTCCTTAAGAATAAACTTCCGCGGCTTTTATATTGGAAAAAATAAAGAAGTACTGCCAGTTCCTATTTATAAATTGTTTGTAGGAAAAAAATTTGTTCGGAGGGTAATTAACGACGTTTTTAAATTTTACCTCTTTTGACATATTTTTTTTTAATATTCTTTATTTAATAAGGATAAAAGGTGAAAAATTATCAATTTAATGTATTTTTTGATTTGTAAGCTTAGGATGCAAGTGACTTGTAGATAAAAACAGAACGATATGTTATTCTGATAAATTCTTAATTCTTTTATCTTGATATCATTAGTTTGTCGTTTAGATCACAAGATTCTGTGGCGTCATAAACTCCACACACGCCATGCAAAGCTTTTTAAGTGATGATTTAGAATCACTTATATAAGTATTTATAACTACTTTTTATATAAGTCAAGATGAAATTTCTTTTACATATTTATCTTATATTGCATAAATTATAATTGAAAAGCTACTTGCCCAAGCTCTCAAAATAAAATAGAAAACTTAAAACTTTTTACTTTCTTATTGCCAGTAAGCTATACTTTGAAAATATTCATTTATAAATTTTAAAAACATTATGATTAATTATTCAGAAAACTAAAAGCCTTAACCAATCATCTATGATATATTATACTACCTCCTGTTCTTAATACAAACACTTATTTGAATTTTATTTTAGTCATAAATATCTCTTCCAATTCAAAATATAAGCTAAACTTTATCTATTACGTTTATAAAAAACTAATTAAAATCAATTTAAAACAATAAATATGTAAGGCATATATTGAATTAAAGAGGAGACAGAATATATGAGTTTAAAATTAGAAAAACCTCATTAAATGCTTGAATAAAAGTGAATGTTATCTTATAAAAAAAAACCCTTTAAGAAAGTTTAGCTTATATTTTGAATGGAGGGAATATAAGATTCCAAAAAATTTGTTTATTGTATTTATTCATTTTTTTAAAGACAGTTCTCGTGATAATAGTAGTTTTAATCAATACACTTGATTAACAAAGATACTTTGAGAAAGACAATACTTATTTATTACAAATAACTAACTTAATTAATTTTTTTAATCTACTCAAATTAATTAATTAGTTTTTGTGTTAAGGACTGGAAGTAGTATTAAATTCAAATAAGGTCGCATTATTCACAATGAAGGTGCTTATTTTTTAGGCAAAGTAATAAAGGTGTTTATTGTGTCTCCATCCTAGGAGACTGGCGATGGTTTGGGTCATGTTGGGCAGGATCAGGACGGGCTCAACGGAAGAGTAATTAATGGCCCATCGTCCATAGGCCACTTGTGAGAGCATTTAAAAATCCTTTTGTAACCCCAAAAAAAAAAATCCTGTTATTTCCATATTGATTTTTTTTAATTAAAGGCAATTATATTCAAGAATATTTCTCCTAACAAGTGTTCAAATTTTAATTCGCTATATTGTAAAGGGATTAACCCCTTCTATTAGAACCAACCTTTATTGGTAATAATCCTCTTTGTTAAAGTTTGATCACACAGTATTAAACTATTTATAAATTTGAAAAGGAAAACTATTATCTCCGGTTTTTAATATTAAAAATTAACTAACTATTTTTAAAATTTTAAAAATTTTAAAAAATTATTTTTAGATATTATATTTATTATTTTTTTAAAAAACAAATTTGTTTGGTTTGTAAACTGATATATAATCTAATAAAATATATAAGTATATGTAAAAAAAAATCAAGTAACATATATTATAATTAAATAATTTTTTTAATTTTTTAAGTTTTTTAAAATTAATTAACTACGTTTTATATTAAAGATCAGATGTAGTATAATATTAAGTTAGAAAGTACAATTCTGCTGAAGTTTCTCAGAAGTTAAAATATCGGGTGTCAGTTCAAAACAAAAAAAGTCGGGTGTCATGCAGAGAAAACGAGTGTGACATGCATTTCTTTAAAACAATAATTGTGACTTCTTAAAAGAAAATAAAATCAACCAAACAATTTAGATATTGATTTTTTTTATTTTTTGGAAATAAAATTGTGTTTTTCTATGGATCAATTACGTGATTTTTTAACAGATTAAAAGAGAATAATAAAATGACATGGATAATAAAATAATGACAATACTCTTATATCCATTATTTTATTATGTCAAACTCTTCAATCATACATAATCATATGTCATTTTTTAAAATATTAATATTTAATGACATTTAATTATAAATTCACATAAAATAAAATAAAAGACATACAACTATCTGTAATTAAAGAGCGTACCATAATGAATATAGAAAATTTGATATTATTCGAGGAGGTGAGATATTAGCATTTATGACAAGAATTATTTTCACTAATCAAAATAATCGTTAAATCTCTAAAAGAATAATCACTTATTACTTCTTCTTTTTTCGCCTGAATCACTTATTACTTTTCTAAGAAAATACAATTTTTTATCTTCTGAAAAGTCAATAATAAATGCTTTTAAAAAAAATATAAGTAGAGCCGCGCATGTAAGTTTAGAAAACTCGCATGTTGCGCCAACAGAGTCCTGATTGGACATTTGATGTGATATATATATATATATTTGTGTGAGTGTTAAGCAGCCAAATATTTGTAAACTCAAGCCATCCCGTATTAATAGACGTTAGCCTGAAAAGAATATCAAAACAAATTAATATTTTTAATATAAAAATTAGTTAACTAAATTAATTTAAAAAATTAATTACATTAGTTATTTGTAATAAGTAGTTATTTTTTAAAATATTCTTTCTAATCAAGTATCATTTAATAAAACCTTTAATATGCTTAAATAGCATAATGATTATATTAAAAAAAATAGATAGATATAAAAAAACAAAATACATTAAAATTTTATATTTTAACTAAATTCAATATAAAACTAGTTATTATATTAAAAATTAAAAGTAGTAATTAGCATTCCAAACATCAATCATATGATGGAATAATAACTCCGATCCAATTAATGCAATTCCATATACACGTACGATGTCGGTTTTAATTTAAAACTGTACGTTTCCTTCCAATTCAACAGTCCGTTGATTTTGTCCACGTTGCCACTTATTTCCCCCAAAACATCATTATCATGCCTGCACTTTTTGATGCCACTACCTTCTGTCCCACATTTATTTCTCCGACTCTAAAGTGCTCAAGTGCTTAGTCAAAGCTTAATTATATGTTTGTGTGCGCTTGAACGCCACGCACATCATCAGCAGCATTCTTAACTTATTTCTGGCCAGCAAGAGTTACCAAAGAGTATATACATAGTATATACCCCGGTCTTTAATATAAAAATTAACTGATTAATTTGAACAGATTAAAAAATTTAATTAAACTAGTTATTTATAATAAATAGATATTTTTTTAAATATTCTTGCTAATTAAGTGTATTGGCTATAAGTATCATTATTACAAAGATTATTCTGAAAAAAATAAATATAAAAGACAAAATATATTGAAGTCTTATATTTAAAATCAAAATAAAAATAAAACAAATTTTTATATTATGTACGGAAGGTAGTATTACTAACTGAAACTTAAAACTTGCCAATGAGATCTTTTGTTAGTGTCGAACAAAGTGCTTGAGTTGCGACGGCAAGATTGCACCACGCGCACACAGCTTAACACGATATATATTGGGGTAGAGGGGCACCATGCCGGCTCAAGGTCAAACCACACGTACATTAAATAAAACAGGAACAAATATAGTAACATTTATATCTTGATAAACAGTACTCCATATCCTTTTTAACCATGAACAAATTTGAACTATAAATCTGTCACCAACAAAAAAAAAGAAGAACCATATTTCACATAATTTAAGAAAGTCAATGTATCTTAACAATCACGTCTCAAAAATATTTTAATGTAGATTAAAATATATAATTATTATTAATGCTTAGTTTTGTTATTAACTTGGTATTGCTCATCTCATAGAGTTTAGGACAAGGGGCGAATTTGAAATCAACATGTCTTAAAATCACCTGAAACTGGGTTATTTTTGCTTATAAAAAACCATAATTAGAATCTGGTTATGATACAAAACGAAGGAGGTAAGCGGCAATAATTTGAATTACTTTCATCTCACGATGTCCTATTAATTGGGACCAAGAGGCAAGTATGTCTAAAATAGTGTTTTATACTCCTCCGGTCCTAAATGTAAGACCTTTATACACACTAGTATAAGGGTCTTACATTTAGGACCGGAGGAGTACTAGGATTCGGCACTGATTAACGATATTATTAATAACAGTATTGATATTGATAATAACATAAGTTGCGTGCACGCTAAATCATAGCTAACCGGTGATATACTGATATATAACAAACTTGTTTTAGACATATAAAACTATGCCAACGACGACCATGTGTGGTAATAATTCACGTAATACTGATGTATGAAGGTATCAATAAACTTGTTTCTGATGGACACGTATAAAAGTATTAAACACTTTGCATGGAATAAGCAGACAACATTAAAATAACGATTATTTAGTCTTTTTGCTATATTATATTGATGTGTGGTTTAATAAGTGACAGTGATATATCTAAGGATTAATTAAATAAATAATGATTTAGTTCTCAACTTTTTTAAATTTAGATTTTTTTTATAGGGTATTTAGTTACGATTTTCTCTCCAAAAGGAGCTACTCCTCCGGTCCTTAATATAGGACATGATTATTGAGTTGTTTTTTGTCCTAAATATAAGACCCATTTCTCATATTTATCAATTTTTTCTAAATTACCCCTATGGATACTACATCAACCATAATCAAGCAGAAGAGGGAGATGGGGTATCAAGAAAGATAATTATGGTGTTTTAGGAAAAATGTGTTACATTTCTTATAATTAACTAACTTACCTAACTTTATTAATCTAATCAAATTAGTTAAATGGATCTTATATTAAGAACAGGAGGAGTAACATGACAATGAAATTACATATGACCTTTTCTTTGAAACCAATATCACTTTATTACAGTTAAGAATAGTTCAAAAGATAGTCCACAAACCCCTCCTCGAGGTTGCGACTTCTTTATTTCAACTGATCAAAGAATGGGTGGGTGTTTTGGGCCCCCTCCCTTATTGGACGTGGTTAATTAAATTGTCCGAATAAAAAAAAAGGACTGCTTATATATATATATATATATATATATATATTAAACGAAGCTAAAAATATCGATTTACTTAGAGGTATGGTATAAGCCTAAAGAATTAAAAAAATAGAGGATATACATTCTTACATCAGCATTACGTGAAAATCTATTAATTAATTTATTTATAGGCGGTCCATGCGGCTGTAAACTATGCATACACACACAGAAGGATATGTAGCCTGTGGAGAAGATAATTCCTCTTCAAATGTCCTTCTTAATACGAAATCTTACGGAGCAATCAATCATCAATAATATAGAAACCATAACACGTTGCAATTATATTATTCATTAATTATAAAGACTACATAACTCATTCTCCTCAGACTTCTTGACATGCATGATATACGGACCCGCCCACATTTATTGTGTGCTAACTTCTATAATTTTTTCGGCTGAATATTATATGCAGGTTTGAAAAATTGAATTGTTGAATTGAAAGAATTATTTATCTAATTAGGGCTTATTTCCAAGCTAAACTTATAAACAAACATTTGAGGGTTTCCCCTCTCAACAACGACTCTTCGGGGGAGAAAGCGGACACGAGAAGAACAATACAGGGATATGGATTGGGGTGAGACCTCGTGATTGTTATCTATTTCCTCCACATGTCTAATTAATTAACCAGTAGGGTTAGATTGTTGCACGATATCTTGAATTAAGTGCGAAGTATTAGAGTGAGACGAACCGTGTTCCTGAACAGCCCTTCTAGCCATCTTCCCAAGTTCTATGGCTCTGTTCCTCCTAATTTCACCTTCTTCACCACCTTCCATACACATGTCTATGGCTTCTTTGATCCTATCTTTCTTCACTAATACCCCAGCTTTCCCTTCATCGCCCCACCTCACCGGAACCTCAACGCCTACTCGAACTCCGACCTTGAGAACTTCCACAATCAACTTCTCATTCACGAACTGCTCGGCAAACAAAGGCCACGTCATCAATGGTACTCCAGAGCACACTCCTTCCAGTGTCGAATTCCAGCCACAATGGGTCAAGAATGCTCCGATTGCAGGGTGTGACAGTATGAGGATTTGTGGAGCCCATCCTTTTATCAAAAGCCCTCTTCCTCTAATCCTTTCCTCAAAACCCTCATCAACTAACCATTTCTCTATCTCTGAATAATCTTCTCCGGCAGTTTTGAGAACCCAGATAAAGGGCCTTTGGGATGACTCTAAAGCCAACCCAAGTTCTATTAATTGTGATGGAAGAAGCCGACATAAGCTACCTAGGCACACGTACAAGACTGACTTAGGTAGCTTCTTGTCGAGCCATTCCGAACAATATTTCTCTTCAACTGAAGGTTTGTTTCCCCTCTCAAACTTGTCCAAACCCTCCTTATTGCACAAGGACAACGGACCTATGCACCAAACTTTCTTATTCATGGCCTTTTCGTACTCCTGGGCGTATCCATTCTCCAGCTCTTCGAAGCTATTAACGACAACACCGTAAGAGGACATCTCAGCCTCTTGCATTTTGTCTCGGAAATCATCCAAGTCAGGCTGAGCAACGAAAGCTCCAGGGAGCTGAGCTTTTGTGATCTCGATGTTCTGAAGCAGTCCGGGAATAAGAAAAGGCTCACGGTCAGAACTTACAGAGAGATGAGCATTGTGAAGCATGATATTGCAGGAACACAACAAGGAGAAACAACACATGCCATGGAAGACAAGCCTAGGAATGTGGAACTTCTGGGCTATTAAGGATGTCCAGGAGAGACATTTATCGGATATAATACAGCTAGGTGGGGGAGTGGTTTGGCTTCGGAGGTAGTCCTCCAAGGGTTGTTGCATCATGTCGAGTGCATTATAGAACTTTCTGAGAAGGCCCCTGGAAGGCAAAACATCAAGATTCTCGCAGCCTAAGGGAAGACCCACTTGCTGGCAAGGGAATGGGATGTTGAGAAGGCGAATGGGAAGACCAGATTCTGAAGCTCTCTGAATTGTGTGCTCGAACCGAGAGGCATTGCGAGGTGTTGTGAGCAAAGTGACGATGACGCCTCGCTCAGCCAAAACCCTAGCCATGTCTATCATGGGGATCATATGGCCTTGAGCAAATAGTGGCACCAACACAAAGTGAGGTTGCTGTGAAGCCATAATTTCTGTATGCTTGCGAGCTCAAAGCTAAGTATACTCTTGTTAATAATGATTCTAATGAAGGCGAATATACTGGAAAGGAATCACAGCTAGCCGCATTATATATTGCCCAGCTCCTCACCGAGCATACTTGACTTTGAATAATTCAAAACGGAGAGACAATTAGTTTTCCCATTTAAACCTAATCAATTGCGCAATTTTTTTTTTTGGTTTGTATTGACTTGTAATAAGATCCCGTGTTGATTCCATTAGGGGTTGCGTGGAGGACGAGTTTGTGTTCTTCGCCGCTTCTCCATTATACTAATATTTAATTAACATACATTTGTTTTTAAAATATGTCTACGAAATGCCAACAAGAGTTGATCCAATTGGTAAGGAATCGGTTCATAACTCACAAGGTCATGAGTTCGAATCCTGTGGCAAATGTGAGGACTTTGTTAGTAGGTAATCTATAAGTACCTCTGTAAGCATTCTCTAAGCCTGAAGGAATGCCTTGGCCCTGATGAGCTCTCGGAACCCAACTCATCTAAACTTTTTACTCAAGAAAAAAAAAACGCCTGCGAATTTTCTAGTATTTCCCTTAATATTTACCAATTCTCACCTTAATGATCTCAGAATTAATACCTGTTTAAGTTCTTATTTCATTCTTTTATGTTAATAATTAAGAAATTAAATTAATAAGGGGAGAATTTGATCCAAGCAGACGCAAAGATAATGTACAAGAGATCAACAACAACATATAATATATCTTCTAATTCTTGAAAAAAAAAGAAAAAGAAGAGCCTGCTAATGCTTAGCCTTATATATCTAAAATGTTTGCTTCCAATTAAATTAATACAAGAATATTTTTTTAAAAACAATAAAAGTAATCAAGCATTTTTGACTTTTAAAAACGGTTGGAAATGTCCACGTAATATGCTTTGCCTTTCCAGGAGATTACTGCTGTTAGCGATAGTTACGTACGTGAAGGAATATTTTTACGTTGCGCCTGGCTATAAGCTTTGAGTCTTTGACAAGCGCAGCCCTTAAATAGTAAAATTTTATAGCTCTTACCTTAGGTTGCATAATGCATAATGCCCAGAGATCGAAAACTATACTGATTATTCATACATATGAACTTGGCTGATCAGAGAATTAAGTCACGTCATTACATATATTAAAAATAAACGAAAAGGGCACACGAATTATTGTGCACGTACGAGCGCCGGTGTAAGTCTTTAACCATGCACACATGATGACATGAATAATGTCAATCTTGTTATTATACTGTACTTAATGAATACTGATTTTTATTTTATTTAACCTATTTGGATGAAACTAATTATAAGAGAAAAGTATTTTTTCCTCAGCTTGCCGTCACGTTAACATCACGTAAGTCCTTTGGAATTGTATATGTGTGTGTATGTGTGTGCATGGCAGCGTAGATTCAAACATATGGCTTGCTTATGGGTTTGATGATTAAGATGAATGCAAATTCCATAACAGAATTCTTTTCCACGAGAGACCGCTGTGAATATATAGTCCTACTGTGGACAACGAAAATCTGGGTGGTCGAAACAAAGAATTCAATATTTGAATTCTTTATTATTATTTTCTAACGGCTCGATCGGTAAAACACGGTATTCCTTTTTTCAGGTCTGGAGTTGGAATAACAACCATGGGTTGTTATAAGCTGATCAGCTTGGGATTACTAATGTTCTTCTGCAGAGCTGGTAATCAAATGGGTCGTTTCCATACTAATTATTATAAGGCTCTAACTAATTGTAAGCCTTAATAATTTATATTTGGAGCATTATTTGTACAAGCCAACTCCTTTTTTTTTGTGTGCTAGACACAGGTATTCTCATAGTAGAGACAATCCTGGTACTGTTGGGTATTAGATGTGGGTATCTCTTCTAGTAGGGATTCAAATTTTACTTATTCAGATTATGGAGGACTAGCCGTTTCTGCTAAATCCAACTCCCGTTGGTGAAGCTAGCTCTTATTATAATAGCATTGGTTTCAGAATCCTACCTTTTTTAAATTTTTTCTCAAATATAAAACTAGTAATTAAATGTACTACTTTGGCAGTTCTTAATATAAAAGCTAATTTGAATTTTCATTTGGTACTAAAGCTTATTGCTTGGAAAAATGTGAAATAAACAGGACAATGTCACGGGCCTAGCTCAGCTTTCTGGCTTTGCTCCCATTATGCGTGGTCATTTGCAAAAACTTAAAATGAAAAAGAAAGGGGGAGATGATAACTTAACCTGCACGCACATACAAGATGATATTTATTCAACATCGTGTATATGAAAAAGAAATCGTGTCAAGTTTGTCTGGGTGAGGTTAGGTCCAGAGACAGTAAGAGTTGGGAATTTTCCTTGAGACGTACGTAGAAATCAGAGGGCATGTATATAACGGATGGATGAGTAAATGCAACTCCATGGAAGACACTTGACAATAGAATTAGTCCTCAAATTATTCACATTCTGGTCAATATAAAGTGATACAGCCATCATTATTAGGTCATGCAAAGTTTGATGATTAAAAGTTGAAACTACGTATACGACGTAGCTATCAAATAATTAATCCGAGCTATATATATGTAAATCATAAGAAAGAGAAACGAAGCTGCAGAATAATGAGGCCCATAGAAAAGTTATATTCTGTATTAGATTATCGGGGTGTTTGGATGAGCCCATAAGTGCTTTTAGGAGTAGTTTTCTGTAAATCGAGACAAATTCTTTCACATATTTACTTCGTAAATCGTAAAGTCATTTCTGAAATAATCATGCTTTTGTTTTTATCCAAATACCCCCGTACATCAATTATACTGTAGGTGTTTGTTTATACAGTTAGTAACTGCTGCTACGTACATCTAGAATTTGATCATTTGGGAACGATATTTAATGAACAAAATATGCTCTAAATAGATATCGAGCTCAAGCCTACTTTTTTTCTGGTCAATGTAGCCTAACCATAATTGTGGGCTCCAAGACGAGGGAAAATTTTACTTCTCCTCTTGGTCAAAAGAAGGAAAGAAAGTTCAAATCTCATGTTGAGAGAGGCAAAGATTCTCTAAACCCTGGGTCTTGAAAGGAAGAACCCTTGCTCAAATTTTTTTTAAAAAATGACACTTCTCCGTCCGTATTCTTTTTTCACACGTAGTGTTTCCTTTATAATTAATTAATAACATTAAAAACATATATATAACACTTTTCTCTCAAACAGATTATTAATATACTATACCAATTGCTATTTTATGTCACTTTCAAATTAAAGGAAGACACCAAAAGTGAACTTAACGTAAAAAACCATCTGTGTATGTTGTTATTAGCGCCAAGGCTAATTTACAATTTGCTACAATGAATTCCAACTTCCCTTCTCTTCTTTTTTTCACACCAAACTTTAAATTTTGTTTTAAATAAGTCAAAAGCTAGACATCGATCTAGCGTGTTTCATCCCTAACGAGGGGGGAATTGTACTTTTCAATTATAGTAATGAAATTTTAACTCAATAAATTATAAAGATGTAGCCAAAAAAATAATAGCTATTACTTTCGATTTTTAATATAAGAACTTATTTAACTTTTATTTTGGTACTAAATATAAGACTCTAATTCACTTTATTACTCATATTTATTCATTTTTATTTCAAAATAGTCTTTATAATAATAGTAGTTCTAGTTAATAACATACTTAATTAGCAAGAATATTTTAGAAAACACAACATTTATTTACTACAAATAACTAACTTAATTAATTTTTTTAATTTATTCAAATTAGTTAACTAACTCTTATCTTAAAGAACACATGTAGTAGCAAGCCAATGCATCATGAACCTTCATTTGTCCGTTCTAAAGACAATATAAGAAACTGCTCATTCAATTGGGAAGCAATTAAAACGTGGACGACGTCTAGAAAAGCAACCAACAACCAGCTTAATGAATATTTGTTGTTTTTAGTAGAAAGTTGTTTAAGTGTTTTTTCTTCTGTCTTCCCCGATTACTTGCGTGGTTTTCCTTTGGTGAATGTTATATTCAAGGTTCCCATCCCATGGCACAAACCTTTTTTTGGGGAAAAACTGAGTTTGGTCCCATGACTAACAATAGGTTTAAAATATTATGAACTTTCTGTTTTTTTTTTTCCTTCCTCTTTTCATATCTAACAATAAGATTAAGACATAACTCTTTAAGAAAAATATCATATAAGTCTTATTTTATTTGTGTTGTTGGGAATTATCCTTGGAGATAATTTTATTCGAGATACTGTACTGTTAGATACTACCTCCGGTCCTTAATATAAGACCTTGTTTGGCTTTTATTTTGATTCTAAATATAAGACTCTAATTCACTTTCTCTTTCATATTTATATTTTTTTTTTCAAAGTAGCCCTTTAATAATAAGAGTTCTAGTCAATACACTTGATTAGTAAGGATATTTTAGAAAAGATAACATCTATTTAGGATAAATAACTAACTTAACTTACTTTCTTAATCTCCTCAAATTAGTCAACTGACTCTTATAATTAGGACCGAAGGTAATATTAAATATAGGCACATCTTTTTAAAAAAATTTAAATCTTAATTTATTATGTTGTGAAGATAAACTCGTACCAAAACTAACCTCCACTGACATATAAATCTTATTTTTACTAGCTGAACTACCTGGTAAAACCGTCAGAGCAGGCTGCGCAGCCATTGCTTTTTATCCCGGTCAAAAATGGGAGCACCCGAGACCCTGGCCTTTTCTGAGGATAGAGCCCAAAATAATTGGGTTCAACTAAAACCCAAGTTTCTGTTCTCCGAAAACAAACGGCCCACTATGGAGCCATTTCTCTTGCAATCTGGCACTCCCGCGTGCTTCACCTCTCCAATGCTCAAAACGATGTTCACCACCTAACTTGGCTAGCATCTTGTCACTGCAAAAATACTCATTAAAACTATTGCCAACTAGGAACACCATCGCATGGGAAAGAATGAGTCCTCATCCCCAAATTCATTAGATTTTAACCATTTAGATCCGATCCAGAAGGTCCCTTTTTTTCAAAAAATTGTTTTAACGGGTATAAAATCTAAAATAAAAATAATTTTTAACTATTTTTTTAAAATTATTTTTATTTAAAAATAATCAATTAAAAATATTAAATCTAGATGGTTCATAGTATTTATTAAGTGAGGAGTGCTCAAACTAGTCCACATTGCATGCTTCTTATTCAGCTCCTACAAATCCTGAGCAACTGGGCTTAATTCCTCTAAATGCTGGGTAATTGAGATTTTTTTTATATGCCCATGCTAACGAGTTCGAGGTGTTCAACTGAAACCAAAGGAACTAAATTTTTAGACTTGTCGTTTCACTTCGAATATACAATTCTGACTAACTATTGTTGAATTAATAAAGTGCAGGATTTATAAACTATATTGGGATCCGAAACATGGGGACCAATCACTTGCATCTAAGGAAAGCAAAGATCAGAACATCATAGAGTATCATGTTGCATTCAACTGCTGGAAATTATGAAACATGAGATCCAATTTAACGACACAAGCTTAAAATGAGCAAAGTATTGCTTTGTCACACGCTTACCGAGTAATTATATACTTGGCATATCAAGTAAAACGAGCAAAGTGCTAAAATATATATGATACCCACCCACATACTGTGAAATAAATGGTCGATATATTTTATAGCTAGTTGCGAAAGGGCACTAGTCATGTTTGGTTTGTTGCCTGATATCTTGGATGAGCAGGCTCACGTTCAGGTCAGAAGACCCATCTTGTTGTACAGCTCTCTTAGCCATCTGTGCGAGCCTCATAGCCTTATTTCTTCGCTCTTCACTTTCGTCTGTCTCATCCATCAACCTGTGTATTGCCGTCAGAATGTCTTGTTTCTTCACCAACACCCCTATTTTCTCTTCCTCGCCCCAGCTCATGGGGCTCTCCACCCCAACGCTCACTCCAATTCCTAATATTTGCTCGACGTACTTCTCATTTAAAAATTGATCCCCGAATAATGGCCAAGTTAGCATTGGCACACCTGCACATATTGCTTCTAAAGTTGAGTTCCAACCGCAGTGTGTTATGAACCCTCCAATTGCTGCGTGTGACAATATAAGTACCTGAGGGGCCCAGCCTCGGATTAAAAGGCTCCTTCCTCTGGTCCTTTCCTCAAACTTATCTTCTTTAATCCAATTGTACAGTTCTTCTGAGTGATTTCCTTCCCTCATAACCCAAATGAATGGCCTGTTTGATGCTTCCAAAGCCAAGCCAAGCTCTTGTAACTGCAGAGGAGTTAGATTGCACATGCTGCCCAGGCACACATATATAACAGCCCTTGGTTTCTGCGAATCAAGCCACTCCAAGCATTTGTGCTCGTCAATTGAAGCCTTGTTACCTCTGCGAGCCTTATCTAAGTCGTCCTGGTTGCTGAGTGAAACAGGGCCGATACACCACAGTTTATCTTTTCTTGCCTTCTTGTATTCTGCTGCATAGGCTGGCTCCAATTCTTCAAAAGAATTCATGATTACCCCATAAACCGCCATTTCCGCTTCAGCCATTTTGCCAATAAATTCCTTCCAGCTTTCCTGTGGTCCTGGCAACTGGGCTTTGGTGATCTCAATTTTATCAGGCAAGCCAGGTATAACGAAGTATTCTGAGTCTTCCTTGATGTTGTCGTAAACATTGTTAATGCTGGCATTTAGGCAACATAGGAGACAGAAGCAGCTTACTCCATAAAAAGAGATCCGAGGAATATTGAATTTGCTGGCTATGTGGGCTGTATATGGCAAACCCACGTCAGAGATTATGCAGTTTGGTTGAGGCGTTAACTGTCGGAACAATTCTTCTGCAGGTTTCTGCAGAATGGTTAGCGACTTGTAGAAGCTCAAGCCCATGCCCAGCGAAGGTAGCATGTCAAAATTCTCACACCCATCAGGCATTCCAGCTTCTTCATATGGAAATTGAATCCGGACTAATCGTATTGGAAGCCCCGACTCTGAGAAACGAGCAAAAGTTGCTGAGAAACGAGCTGCGTTATGTGGCGTTGTGACCACTGTAACAATGACGTTATGGTGAGCCAAAATTCTGGCTACGTCAATCATGGGGATCATGTGGCCTGGGGACATCAATGGAAACAAGACGAAGTGAAGCTCAGATTCTTGGGAAGCCATTCCTTTTCTTGCTAAGCGACCGGATATGTGATGTTCTTGATCCAATTCCGTTCGACTTACTTATGTGCAAGAGGCTTAACTTTCTGGTTTGCTTCAAGTAGTGCCCAGATAAGCAAGAAAGTCTAGCTCGTGGACGACTTTAACACTAATCTTAAGGCACCAAACTTGACCCAAACCTTGGAATTCAAAAGTTATTTTTCCCTTTTACTTCATTCCGATAATTCAAAAATGTTTCGATGAATAAATTAAACACAGCTATAAGATATTTTGTTCATCTTGCATGTATTAAAAATCGAACACAAGCAACTAAGCAAGCTTTTTCGCCAATCTCGTTATACAGACTGATCAGTGAAACGCCCAAAGTAGTCGAATTATCTTGGTCAAAAGCAACGTCACGCTTTGATAGATCACTGGCTTCTTCACAGTTATATCTAGTTTAATGCAATTTTTGTTCATTTAAATTTGTCATCACTTTGATTGTGGTTGTCCAAATTTTAAACTATAGTTTTTGGTATCTCAAATTTTTTTTATTTAAAACATTAGTTCTTATAATGTAATAAAAATTTAGATTATTTTGTCTTTTAAAGAATCAAAATCTATGATTTGCAAATTGCAAGACCGAAATCTAAATAAAGACGAACTTAAGGGATCAAATATTATATTGACTCTTATATTTATATAAGTTAATTTTTTTGAGTTGAAAACGTATCTAGTATCCCGAAATATTTTCTTAGATACATCTAATACTCTGAAATATTTTGTAGTGTATTTAGCACCCTGAAGTATTTTTCAAGTGTGTCTAGCACTCAAGTATTTTTTTTTTTTGGTCTTGGTGCTGGAAGTAGTGCATTTAACACTCCGAAGTGTTTTTTTTGGATACATCTAACACTCCGAAGTATTTCGTAATGCATTCAACACTTTAAAGTGTTTTTCAGGTGTGTCCAGCACTCATAAGTATTTTTTTTGGCTTTAGTGCTAGATGTATCAAAAAATATTTTAACGTGCTGAACATATTTAACAAAATATTTCAGAATAGTGGATGTACTATAAAATATTTTAAGATTCAACCGGAAAAAATATGTCGTTTAAACTCCCCCCCTCCCCTTCCTTCAAATGGGGTTTTAAAGTCGTGAACGCATCTTCTTTCTCATGTGCCCCGTCTGTTTCAAATTTATCGCCAGGCATTCTTGTTTGTCCTTGACCAATGTTAGTTTTAGGGGTTGTTTGGATATAACCAAATTATAGTTTAGAGAATAGCTTCTGGAGAATAGATTTTGGGAAGAATAGATTTTGTAAAGAAGTGATTCTGAAAAATGAGAGTGTTTGAATAGTTGTTACCAAAAGCACTTTTTACATGTACAAATTATTAAAAAAGGTATAAGTTAATATGATAATTACAGAAAAAATATATTTTATGATATATTTTAATTTGAAGGAATAAAATTGTTAATAATATATTTTTTATTAACATAATTAATAATACATAAAATAATATAATTAATAAATAATTAATATGTATATATATTTATAAAATATAAGATTAAATATATTTATAAAAAAATAAGTTTATAAAAAAACAACAAGATATATATCCTATAGGTTTTCACACTCTCCCTTTTTTTCAAAAGCAAAAAATTTTTACTTTTTCCAAAACTATGATTTTGGAGTCAAAATCATGGTTTGGTTTTTTTAAGAGTGTTTGGGTGATTTTTTCCCAAATGGCTTATCACCCAAACACTCCTTTAGACTTGAGTGCCGCAAAAATGGAATATCTCAAAAGAAAATACTAGCAGACACCATCAGTGGGGCCTGATGTCAAATCCAAGCAAGAAATATGGGCTTCTGAATGAGACATATAAGCGGGCAAATGAAGGTGTCGTACGGGCTAATAACGACCCATTAAAAAAAAATGCATCTAGACCAGGTGACTAACAATTAATGTCAATCACCCTTGTCATCAATCATCAAATTGTTAATTAAGATGTTAACTAGTTTCAGGATAAAAATACAAGTTTGAATTCTGAAAAACTCACTTATTAAGATAATTTTAATCTTAACACTCTTAATCTGATAGAGATTAGTTTCATATTTAAAGTGATTTAAACGTATTCCAAGTTATACAACAACAAAAAATCATTATCATCAATTGCATTGTATTGTTGTTTCCTGGCCGCCCATATTCAAGATTTTTAGTCGCCACTCACTTGTCAGACTCATAATTACTTACTCATTCAAAAGTTGCCCCCTTTTTTGATGAGTAGCGATATTAACAGTAAAGGATTAGTAATTTTTTAATTAATATGTAAGTATATAATTACCGAAAGAAGCTTACTCATGCTAGTATCAAAATAATACATTTATAATATTTTACTCAAGAAACTTAATAATATACTTCTCTGATCTTAAATATGAGACTCTTTTTATAATTATAAAAGGTTTTATATTTAGATATGAGACTCTTTTTATAATTATAAAAGGTTTTATATTTAGGATCGGAGAAGTACATGATTTTTGTTGTTAGAAAGTGGAGTAGAATAGGGTTGTTACGATCCTCTGTAATTGTTACTACGAGTAGAAGAGACTCGATGAAAGTGTTTCACCGGTTTTGCATGCTGAAATCAGCTTCATCTAACATGATGGGAGGTTAATTATGAACAAATGCTACTTCAATTCCAATACCATCGATGGATCAATTCATGCTTGAAAATGGAAGAGATCACTTGTCTTTGTTGATTTGGTGCATGATATCTTGAATAAGCAAGTCGACGTTAGAGTAAGAAGATCCACCTTCTTCAACGGCATTCTTAGCCATCTCTGCAAGCTTTCTAGCCCTCCTCCTTCTCTCTTCACCTTCCTCTGTCTCATCCATTAACTTGTCTATTGCCTTCTCAATGTCTTCCTTCTTCACCAACACTCCTATTTTATTTTCCTCGCCCCATATCATAGGACTCTCCACCCCAACGCTTACGGCAACCTGTAATATTTGCACTACTAGTTTTTCATTGCAAAATTGATCCCCAAATAGTGGCCAAGTAACCATTGGCACGCCTCCGCATATTGCTTCTAACGTTGAGTTCCAACCACAGTGTGTTATGAACCCACCAATCGCAGGGTGTGATAGAATTAATACCTGGGGAGCCCAGCCTCGAATCACAAGGCCTCGTGCTTTGGTCCTCTCCTCGAATCCATATTCTTCAATCCATTTGTTCAATTCCTTTGATTCGTTTCCTTCCCTGATAACCCAAATGAATGGCCTATTTGATGCTTCTAAAGCCAGGCCAAGTTCTGTCAACTGTGACCATGTTAAATTGCATAAGCTTCCCAGGCAAGCATAGATGACAGTGTTTGACTTCTGCAAATCAAGCCACTTCATGCATCGGAACTCGTCAATGGATGCCTTGTTTCCTCTTTCAGCCTTATCCTGATAACTCTTGTTGATAAGTGAAACAGGGCCTATACACCACATTTTGCCTCCTCTTACTTTCTTGTACTCCCTTGCATACGCTGGCTCCAACTCTTCGAAAGAATTCATGATTATCCCATGAGCATCTTTCTCTGCTGCAAAAATTTGGTCACTAAACTCTTTCCATCCGTTGAATGGACCTGATAATTGAGCTTTGTTCATCTCAATTCGGTCAGGTATGCCTGGCAAGATAAAATACTCTGATTCCGACGTTATGTTATTCCGAACATCATTATGGCGAACGTGGTGCGCACACAGGAGACAGAAGCAGTTTGTTCCCACAAAAGAAATCCTGGGAATGTTGAATTTGTTTGCGACGTAGGATGTGTAAGGCAAACACATATCAGAGATTATGAAACTTGGCGTCGGTGTTAAGTCTTGGAATAGCTTTTCCACCGGTTCCTGTAGCAAGCTTGTTGCTTCGAAGAAACCCATGGCGGTTCTTAGGGAAGGTAGCATATCAAGATTCTCACATCCTTCAGCGACTCCAGCTTCTTTATATGGGAACTGAAGCTGAACCACTCGGATTTGGAGGCCAGAGTGTGAAGAACGAGATAGAATTGAAGCGAAGCGATCTGCATTACGAGGTGTTGAAACCAACGTAATGATAATATTGCGGCTAGCCAGTATTCTTGCGATGTCGACCATGGGAATCATGTGGCCTTGAGCCATCAGTGGAAATAGGACAGCGTGGAGCTGCGGTTCTTGGTCTTGGGATAGCGAATCCATTAGTATTGGGGGTTCAATATGCTTCGACGTAGGGATTATGAAGTTGCAGGGTGGGCATCTCTAATGCTTAAAGCAGCCTCTGTGATCCTGTGGGTGTGTCAGCGATTGCATAATGCCACAGTCAAATTGGTCAGTGAAGAGCTCATTCGGTGTGCGCCATCGGGTTCAGAAAACGGAGGGGTAGGACCATAGCCATGATCTTCTTCCACAAGTCATGGATAGATGTCATAGCAAGGGGATGTACGGCTTTTTTATTTATTTATTTATTTTTTACACACTTGTTCAAGAAGCTTCCCATTTTTCACTCCACACGGGAGAGGACTGCAGTTGGTGGACAATATAGTCACAAAGTTTTTTTCCTGGTCATTCTTTTTTTCCTGGCTCTTATTTTTAGTTTAATACTCCTCCGCTTCTAATATAAAATCTATTTTCTAGTGTAATTTACATTACAAAATAGATCTTATATTTAGAACCGGAATAGCATATTTGTCTTCCTTTTTTTTTAACCCAAAAAAAAAAGTATAAGGCCGTTGAAGACCGTAAAAACTTGCCTTGTTTGGGTCTGTGCTATTCACTGACCTCACTGGTTCTTGGAATCACAAATCACCGACCTTATTGGTTCTTCTCCCAGCCAAGGGCGCCCTTGATTTTTTTTTTTTTTTAAAAAAGCAACTGGATAAGGAGACACAAGGTTTGTGGACTTCCCATTCCTATCTTGACTTCGAGCAGGGCAATGAAACAATGGGCTATACTCACCAATGACGAAGTTTCCCACCCCCTCCTCTAAATTATGTAATATTAATTATATGTGAATCAATATTATTATTCCATAATATGATGAAGACATTTTCTATTGTCACCTTCCGCTCTTATATAAGAGCTAAATAATTAATTTGATCATATTAAAAAAAAAACTAGCATTTCCTTCCCATGGGCAGCAAGCTAATGAGACGAAAAAGTAAATCCAAACAACTACGTGTCATTGAAATCTAATACCCATTCGTTCCCATCATCCACTAACATCTACATGGTTTAGGGTTTAATATAGTTCCATAACGTTATACTACCTCCGGTCCTTATTATAAAAGACTATTTGACTTTTATTTTAGTTCTAAATATAAGACCCTAATGTATTTTGTCTATCATATTTATCCACTTTTTTCCATGATAATCCTTCTAACAATAGTAGTTATAGATAACAAACTTGACTAGCAAGGATATTTTAGGAAAAATAACACCTATTCATTACAAATAACTACTTAACTAAGTTTTTTAATCTCCCTAAATTATCAACTGGGTTTTTATTAAAATCGGAGGTAGTATAATTAATGCAATATTATCTGGTTATCCTCTTAATAGACCCGTTGGAAAATTGCTAAGTAACTATAAGCTAAAAGAACAATATTAACAATATAAAGGGTTGGAAGTTGCTATGGCTTTGATTAAATTTAAGACACATGCAACAGGGAATATTGTCAAATATAATTAAGTGAACCCATTTATCTTTCCATACGTGGACCACACATATATAAATAAAGGCCTTTGTGGACCTCCCATTCCTATGTTGACTTGGAGCAGCGCAATGGAACAATGAGCCGTACTCACTGAGTCTAAATTATGTGATACTACGCATCTAATATACGATCTAATTCACTTTGTCTCTTATTTATTTTTTTTCTTAAATAATCCTTTTAACAATAATAGTTTTAGCTAATACACTTGATTAGCAAGGTATTTTAAGAAAGATAACACCTATTTATTACAAATAACTAACTTAACTTATTTTTTTTATATACTCAATTAATCAGCTAGTTCTTATATTAAAACCCGAAGTGGTAGTAATTTATATAGTGAATCAATATTATTATTCCATAATATGGTGAACACCTTCTATTATCACCTTTTATATCCTTAATATAAGAGCTAAATAATTAATTTTGGTGATATTAAAAAAATTAGTTTAATTAATTTTTAATGACAATTATATGTTGAAAAATAACACCTATTTATTAACAAATAACTAACTTGAGAATAATTATAAATGGAGAGACAAATTAGATTAAGATCTTATATTTAAGATAAAATATAACCTCTCAATTAGATTTTATATTAATGACAGGAAGTAGAACTATTTACCAGCATGGAGCTAATCTTTACAAGTTTTGATCTTAAACACGATGTTATAATGATGGTTAAAAGAAAATTAAGGAAAAATATACATTCTGATAAAAGTTTATCATTTAGAAGTTCACTATATCTTCCAACGTCTGCGTAAGCACATATCTTTATGTGAATTATCAATACCACTATTTAACATAATCAATATATATAATAAAATTAAAACGACTTGGGTGTTCAACACTGTGTAACGTTGAGAAGCCCCTGTTAACACTGTGCGGCTCTGGACGGGAAATGCGTCCTGATTGGGTGGAAAGACCTTCAGAATTGCAAAAGTTGTTACTATGCTGATCTTGGCGTTGCATCAGTTGATCCCGGTTGATTTTGTTTCTTTTTGATTTGTTTGCCTGTATTTAATGAAGATTACTTTGTTTATCAGGAGGCAATTAGTTATTTTCACGTCAAATCTTTCTCCCAGGCATGTTGAATTTAACACCTTCAAAAAGCACCGAAGTCTATATGCATCCTTCTAGTACGTCAAGCCCACTGTACAGCGATAATGTACAACAACACAGCCTCAACCTACGGGGTCACACACAGCAATAATGTAAATTTTAGATTTTTTTTCGTGGTTTTTTTTGGGGGGGGGGGTTTGAAAAAAGTCCTTTACAACAAAGGACCGAAAATAATTAAGACAAAGATGATACGAGAAATTAATGTATGCATACACCATGCACATTAGCCAACGCTGCCCAGAGGATCTTCACATGATTGCTGCAAATAAGCAGAATCAATCTCTTGCATCGGGTAAATATCATTAGAGTTGAAGGCCCATCATGATTCTTGACAATTCATCCATGCCTCTCTAACTCCCGGTAGACTCTTGATCATGGCTCCGCCGTGCTGAGTCCACTCGATGGAGCCGAGCCGTTGACAACAATGAACAAGAATTGGAGGATTTTAGCAACAAGCCCAGAGAAGCAGAACACGTAGCTCTGACAACTTCAGCCGGTGATCGACTCATTTTACCCACCAGCATCCCAAATACCTGAAGGAAAATATAAAGTTTCAGTTATAGCTGTAATGCTCCAAAATTGCAACAAAACTACTCCCTCCCTTTCGTATTACAAGGTGGAATTTGCTGTGATCTATATTTCAATTAATGAGGCATTTTGCGAAATGTTACGATTAACTAACGTTATTATAATTAACATGCCCTTTAGAAGAAAATAATAGATAGTCACAATGAGAGTTCATTGTGTTATTGAGATATGAACTAACTTTAATCGTTAAACACGCCTAATAATATGAAGGGGAGGGTGTTATAGATACCTGTGCGTGGTAGAGAGTTAAGACATGTGGGTCGTCCGATAGAGAGAGTATGCAGCTGGAGAAGTATACAGCATTTGCTTGAATTATTGGCCATGGGGCATCAAAAGCCTGCCTCATTAAGAAAGCTAATAGTTAAATTTTGCAAACTCCTAGGTCTATGCGTAATTATCTTTGGGCTCATAAAACAGACGAAATCTTAAGCCAGAAAATATTATGGAGCACCCCCTGATAAAAGTATAAACATTGCTCAGTCCTAATAAACAAAAAAAGATTAATTCACTGTCACGTAGGAAGGGCATATGCCTGCTCATTTATTTTTATTACCAAGCTACGATATAAGGCAGAATAAGTTGAGCCCCGGGGGGGGGGGCATATCAGATGTAAGAACCTGAACTGTTGATGCCATATATGTATCAATTCTGGAGGAAAGATACTGGATAAAATGTTTGGCAATGTCTCTGAGGAAGTCCTCATAGTTACTTCTGAAAACAAAAAAAGGAAGCCGATAGTCATATTTTCCCTTAGGAAGAAAGATTCGCTGAACTATTTAAAACCAAGCTAAAAACCGTCGAGCCACACCGGTGATCAGAAAGGAAACTGTGCGTGTTCACTGGTGCAAGCAACCATTCACTTTCCATCAGCGAGCAAACCCGCTTCAGGGTTATCTGTCAATTAAGACATTTGAAAACAGAAGTTTCAAAATAGAAGTTTCTCCAAAAATCCAATTAATGAAAATCCAAGAATATAAAAGCTGATTACCCGACAGGCCTGCCTGACACTAACATCATCATCATGCAGATGCAAAACAACATGAGGAATGGCGGCATGTACCTTTAAAAATAACCATCAACTTGAAATGAGCCTACTGACAAATTCAGTTTAAGATGAGCAAAATGAAATAGATTTGTAATTCTTGCAGATCTGGCAATTTAACAAGATGTGCATACCAATAAAATTCCTCTGGAACATTTGATTTTTCATCACAGATTCATAAATAAGAACAGGTACAGAGCAAGCATTTTTAAATGGATCACACAAAGAAATCATGATAGTCCTCTAATTCTAAATATAAGACCCATTTTGTAGTGTAATTTATACTACAAAATGAGTCCTATATTTAGAACCGAAAGAGTACTATTCTTTTCCATCAGTTTTGATTTCTCTTGAATTTCAACATTTTGCCAAACGTCGTGCTTTGGCGGGTGAATTTCAACAATGGGCTTCTTTTATATTAACTGAAGCTTATGTACAACCCTCTGTATTGCTTACTACGTTAGAAGCACAACTAGACATGTTTTCTATGCAATGCCCATAAAGGAGAGGCACGCTAGTTATAACTTGTAAATAATAAAATTTGACATAAATTTTATAGTTAAAATATAAACAAGTCTAAAGCCTCCTACCAAACAAAATTGTGTACCCGATGAAGCAAATGAAACGGTCAGATTCTGCGAATGAAAATTGAGAGCTTTGAAGAAGGTAAAGAGATATGTCAGAAAGTTCAAACTTCTTTTGCAGTGATGCAAGGCTAATATCTATGATAAACAGCCTAGAAGCAACAAATCTTATCTTGCGCTTTTCTTCATCCTCTTGCTTTGCATTTTGGAAAATCATTTAATTTAATACAAGTAAACGGGCCAAATAAAAAAGGGCATAATAGCCAGGCCAGCTGGGCTGGAAAATGATTTCTGGGCCTTTGAGTGCATAAGTTGTAGAGCCAACAGAGTAATCAAATTTCTGGGTCAATCATCATGTTGGCAGCTCCAAACCATTCAAATGAGATAACGACATTATACTAAAATGTTTTTGTAACAACATTATTTTTTAGATGGTCAATATTACTCTCTTCTTTCCCTGGCCTGTCAAGAAAGATTGTTAATACTTGAGGAAGTGCTTTTAATTAGTGGTAGACAACATGAATAAAAGGGCATTAATCAAGAAAAGATTACCATACATTACATGTCCATCCTACAAGTGTACAAGTTTGACAACTATAATTGGGCTAGTGTTTCGCTTATAGGATTTATACACATATTCAATGGTCCAAATTTTTTCTAAAAATAATATTAAATAAAATAAACAAAAGTAATGAGATATAGTTAGTAACATGCCTGCTCAAGAAACGCCTCCCTTTGTGCTCCCATTCCATAATTGCTAAGCACTCCAAACGCTGCAAAAGAACTAGCTCGCATCTTTGCATTCATGCTTGCCTATTTTTAGGAATTTCTTATTAAACACAGTTTATGCTATATTGATAAGTACATAAAAAATGGCATTAAGAGATTCAAAATCAGCTACGACTTCAATAAGATAGGTAAAAACCAATAATGTACTTCTAAGCATGACAGTGACTACGTGGCTTCTTGGCCAGAACCAGAGTAACTATCAAAACTTGAAGGACCAACTATCTCTTTGAATAATACATAAATTTCCGATATAAAGACTATATCAACCATTGTCACAAAGGCCAGCTGGGTTGGAAAAAACTTTACAACCAGAACGCAGCGAACATTCCAAAAAGGAAAATAGACATGCGCAAGCTTGCCTTACAATCATATACAACTCAAATTTACATAAAATTGCAATATACTATAAATATTACTCCTCCGGTTCTAAATATAAGACCCATTTTGTAGTGTAATTTACATTACAAAATAAGTCCTATATTTAGGACCGGAGGAGTATATCATTTTCACATGTCCCAATTACTTGATATCTTTCTAGCAGTACAATACTAACTACCCGGGCTTCCAGGAAGCTAAACGTCATCTTCTAAATGGCAAGCAGAGGCATGCATTATTTTGCAACGCTTTAACCAACATAAGACTTCCGTTTTTTTAATTAACTTAACTTTATACTGTTACAAATCTTTTGACAATATCTGAGAAACACGATCTTAATACAATGATCAATATTTATGAACAAAAGAAAGAAAAAAAGAAGAGAAATGTTCAATAGCATGTCACTAAATCCTACACTTGAATCCATAAAGTAAGACCTCGTGTGGCACATTTTCCATTACAGACCACCAGATAAAGCCATGAGAGTTAAAAAGGGGGATTTAGAAATACAGAAATCTAGTCATCTTCGTGCTACAGCTGAAATGACCTGGTGCAAAAGTTTCAATCACACGTTCATTGGAGCTGAATATCAGATGCATCACTGCACTGATCGAAGCAATAGAAACTCAAATTTTATAATGACAAACCTGGAGATTTCGAAGCCGTACTGAAAGATTAAGCAAAATGGGCTCAACTGCATCATTAGGCGAAGACTCGAGGACCTATACAGGCAACAACCAATAAGTAAATAACTGAAATTAACAGTAAACAAGAAAACCAAGCACAGGATACAGAAAACTTAACCATCAGCAAGCATGATACAGCAGTTAATTGTACAGATTCGTCTGAATCATCCAGCAGAGCTAATATGACCCCTAAAACTTGAGTTGCATACACCGGCATATTAATTGATGGAATCTGCAATTTGATGTTCGAAGAAACCATTACTTAAAAAAGAGACCAGAGAGAATTTACAGAAATAATGGTTCTAGTTTAGGAGAAAACATGACACCTTTACTAGCCCTCTCAAACATAAGCGTCGAACAGTTGAAGATTCATCAAATACATGGCGACATAAAACCTCGATCATGTGCTCTAAGAATGATTTAACACCGCCGCTGTATCAATGGTGAGGTGAACCAATAAGAACTTCAAGGGGATGCAACTATTTATTTATATAATAGAACAGAATGAGAACATAGCTAATAATTAATGCACAATCGTGTAAAACCTCAAAGTCAATAGAATCTGTAAATGATCCTTTTTTTTTTAAATGAACTCGGATAATTATACACTTATTCACATTTCACACTAATAAACATATTTCTATACTTTAAGATATAGTTACATACACGATTATAGACACATTGTGGGAATTAAGGATACAACCAAATTAATCTCAAGCAGATAGATGAGATCAGTCGCTTCTAACTGGAATTTAATGATATCAGTGAAAAGCCTCAAATTTCTTAATGATTGTTCTCCTAGGACAACGTCAAGAACTCAGGCAAAGAGGATAATAGCATTATTTTGGTGAAGGTTCAGAACAGGAGCGCAGAATGGAAGTGCAAGTAGGCGCTCGTCAAACTGAGTCACTTCTTTTTTCAATAGATACTTGTTAACCATGCAGGACTCGTTTCTTTCACAAAACAGGCATATGAGTCGTGGTTAAATCAGGCCCCAATTGGGATTCAAACACGAATCCTTTGGCAATGAAGATGATTTCAATAACAAATTATAGACATCCCTAACCCATCATGTGGAAAGAATACTTGAATCACACAGGCAAATCCTATCAATATCAAATAGTAAAATCTATAACAAATCATCTTATTCATAAATCATAAATAATTCAACTCATTCGTCAGATTCCATGAAATACACAAAGGCCCACCTCGTTCAACAGAAATCATTGCATCCCCTAGCAAGTTTATATGACTCTCATAACATAGTTAACAAAAATGCTGCCGCATGCATTAGTTAATAGGAAACACTTCCAAGATAGGGCAGAGACATTAATTTAACAAATCAGGGCACGAAATCAAAGGTATTATTCCATACGCACCTATAGCAAATAAATTCTGACAATGCGGCAGCTGCAGCTTCCCGATGGTATTTATGGGGCCGATCCAATGATTTTGTCAAAAATAGACAAATACTTTGTACCTAACATTTCAACCATACAAGAAGACTTCTCAACAATCGAAGACAACAAACAGATTACAGAGGCTATAGAGGTTGCTGGTTATTTTGAAAAATGAATATTGAGAAGGAAAAAAACAAAAAAGAATGAGGCTATAGAGGCAGTGGAACTGTTTTTTCATTTTTTTATTGAGCCACTTCAATTATTTAAACATTCTCATGTCTGGGTAATGTCATTGGAGCCCTTCAAGTCTCCCTAGGAGACCGTAATCCTCACACTCTCCATGCACTCTGAACGCTTTTACTGCTGTGAATCAGTTGATTCCCCCTGCTCTGGCACCATGCAGAGAGTAGTCGAAAATACTCGTGTATTTCATTGATTCTGAATGAGGGGATGTATATACAGCAGAGACTAATCAATTTGGGCCGGAAAAAAAGGGTCGCAGAGATACAGGGAATAAAAATAAAATCCTATCAAATCTCCCATAAATGTAAATATTTACATATTAAATATCAAATTTCCACATTTCAAATCCTGAAGACAATTTTGATAATTTATTCGTTAAAAATAGCAAAAAAGTAAAATCTTGATAGCCTCAAGAGCCACGTCATCCAACAATTTTATTACTTATTTTCATGTTAGGATTGCTTGTGTTGTAAGTTTAGTAGTGTCCTCCATGAACTAGGGTTGCCTGAGTCACCTATATCAGTTGTCCTCTGTGAATTAGGATTGTCTGAGCCACCTATATAAGGCCCACACTGTCTGCTCTAGAGATTTAAACTTTTATCAGGTTTATTTTGTTACTTTTCTCCGGTTCCTGTGTCCTCTCTACATCACCTAGTTAAGCTCTTAAGCAAGATGAAATAGCACACACAATACCTCTTTTGGCCTCTTTATGGATATGCAGCCAGCTATGTCTCCAATGAGATTAACCCAACTCTCTTTTTCAGACAGTTCTCCATCTCTAGCCAAGATCTGGATAGATAAATCATTTCATTACAACTTTGCTTCCAAGTTATTTTCCATCCCAAAAAGCGAAGATTAAAGCATGTCTACCTTGCCCATCTCAAGGTCACCGACACATTCACAGAATGCTTGAAACGCAGTAAGCAGACCCCTACAAATTCAAGAGATTAACAGAAACAGAGCTGACAAAAGCGACAGCATAAGAGTGTTAAGATAATTTTTTCCATGCATATTCTCTCTGCTAATATGTGTGTGGGGGGGGGGGGTGTAAGACTTAGTCTAGTGTAGTTGGTGAATCTTTTCTCAGAATACCAAACTCAACCATAAGGCCAAAGTATTATACAGAAAATTAAGGTGGTGAGTCAGTAAGGAAATTCAAACTAATTGCACATTTTACAGAGTATTTTTGCTTGTTCAGAAGAAAGTTATTTTTTATTATTTTCAAATGCTAGCTAAACCAGATTGACAAGCAAACCATTATGGGTGCGAACATTCTAGCAATCGTGATATATTGGAAACCAGTGATTAATAGTTCAGAAGAGAGTCATGGCCATATGACACTTCAAATCGAACCCTGCACTTCATATTTTTCAAGGTCACTGCAGTATTATATTCTGATTCCGTGTTCATTCTTAGTTTAGATAGGGTCTTACCGTAATGGTTCCTGCTGACCTGAGTCAGCTAGACCATGACAGCTTCCAAGTTGCAGCATTAGCTCAGATATAACAGAGGCATAGTTTTGTTCAACAACCCTTTTTCCGATCTTTCCCCCTCCTCTACATCAATACAAGAGGCTTGCTAAACAGATTACCCAAATATAGCTTAAATGCAATCATTCGAAGCTGATGAATGAACCTGAAGAAAGCAGTAAGAGCTAGTATTGCAGCCTGCAGCATTCCATCCTCTGTCTGGTTGTCAACAACATGGCTATCGGCAGCACTGTCCAACTCACCTTTGAAGATAGAAGCCTGGCTAAGTACAGATATCACATACTCCAGAAAAGATGTTGACAGCGCCATGTGCTGAGAAAATGCCTGCAAGAAATAAAGTCCATAAATCATTATTTCACCAACACAATCATTCAAATAATTGCATCCACCATTACCCGCAGCATGCACATGTAAAATGACATGAGTGACAACATTCTCATTATAGCAATTCACTAGCTCATTTTTCATAGGAACAGAAGAGATGAAGACATAGGACAGGGAATTTGTTGCACCTTCAGAGAAGATAATCCCATATAGTGAAAACGTAACAAACAGTATATTCAAATCAACCAAACATTAGACTTGCCTCATCCCTCATTGGCACTAACCGACTTGACATCCAACTAATACCCTAACAATATCCCCTAATCCCCTAAACGTCCCCCAAAAAAAAAAAAAAAAAAAGAACATTGTCATCAAATGATGGCACAAATTCAGAAAAATAAAAAATGTACTTCACAGAATTCAGCCTTGTCATCAAGATTCTTGTGATTATTCATCACAAAAAACCCAGAAAAAGAAACTATTAGAGCAAAATATGGATTAAAAGCTCAAGGAACAAAATAATATTCATCAATTAAACATCCATCCAACTCCCAAAATTTAAAAATCTCTTGAATACCAATGAATCAAGGAAACCAACAAAGCAAACACCAGTGATGAACTCAATTTAGTAGCTCTTTAGAGCTTTGGACCTTTGTCTACACTTTACACATAGTTCCCTTCCTTTCAATGGCTGTGAAAGTTCAAGGGAATGCTTCTTTCCCGCCGTAATAAGGACTATATAAAAAACATAAATTGGAGATTGAATAGGAGACACAATCTTGAAAACAGCAAAACAAAAAACAAAATCTAGAACAACTCACATAGAATGCATCCTGCATGGGCCAGCCACCACGGAGCCTAGATATATCCTTTGTCACTATATCCCTTTTAGCAGTGGCCAGGACTTCATCAAAAACAATTTTTGGACTAGTGTTTTCGGCCATAGAAGATATCTTTTTGCACAGTAAAGGATTAATACAGAACTCTAATGGGAAGGGGGGGAAGAGAAAAAACCAGCTAAAACCATGATATTGATATAAAAAATCTAATGGGAGGTAAAGATAGAAAGAAAACATACTTCGAACGCCAAAGTGGCATGAAATTTATAAGGGAAAGTGAAAAGGATACAGCACCAAGAGATTCCACACGTAAATGCTTATCAGTTACATAAACAGTGGCAGAGATCAGTGATTGGGTCGTCCTATCATTGTACACATAACATGTCAACACTCAACATAAGTTATCAAATTTTGCCAGGTAAGAAACCCAAAAGTAAACTATTCAAGAAACCTTGATATATCAATTTCACTCAGCTCATTCCCCCTCTTTGTAACGAACTCAATAACAGCTTGAATAGCTCCTTCAGCTGACTGCTTGACCTTGTCACAAATAGCTACAGAGCAATTATGCAGTGTAACCACCAACTGCCAAAAAATGATCAATGAAACCATTATCTACGCTGCCCAAAAGCTCTCAACAAAATCAACAAAAGAGAGAGCAGAAAGTTAAAATTGCCTCATCCTTGGTCAACAAGATGCAGAGTGAGGACAAGATCCTGTTGAAGACTTCAGATGGATCAATGGAAGTATCCTGAACATATTAAGGAAACAAATAAGATCTATGGCCTCAGTTTCAGTTTCTCAGTCCAACATCAATTAAAGGAAAGAAAGGGAAAAACAAAGCTTGGTAATGGCGTGACTGACGAACTTACATTCCTTAATATGGCTATAACATCCTCTAACGAAGACAAGGCACCATATGACGATTCCATATCTTCAGAAGTTATAGAAGAAGTTGCAGGCCGTGGAAGAGAGAGAGAGATGCTGAAGAGTTGATCAAGAATCTACCCAGTAAAAGTATCATTCAATAATAAAAAATCAAGATGGGAAAGGCTTTTGGGAACTTATGTGAGACTGTTAATCATTTCAGTCTACAGAAAAAGGCTTAGTTACTTACTTGAGCAGATATTTTTCGAACTTCCGAATTTGGGTCAACACAACGTGGAAGATACATTATTACTCTATCTCCTACACATAAAGCTTCACGGCTTGGCAATATAAACGCAGCTGGGAGTGAACAAGAAATTAGTATGCGTTGTAAAAAGAGACAGTTTGAAGTTTTCAAATGAAAAATCTTTACTTGGAAGCTTTGAGTGGTTCCCATATAGAGTCTGGTCAATTTGCTTATTATGTGTGCAAATCCCACGGCAGCCAACTGCACAATACCCACCCACACAAACCATCCGAAACTTGAGAAGCATCTCATGGACCGCAAGACACCCCCTTTTCCTTTGATACTCAACGGGGGAAGAAACAAATTGATCAATTTGCCTCAAAATATGTAACAGAAGCTCTGCCCGACTTCTTCCATCCTCTCCACTAAATTGTATGTCATCAATAATTAGCACAAATTTATGTTATCAATGGCTAGTAGAAGTTAAAGAGAACTTCATATAAACAAAAGGCAGTGTGATGCAAAACAAACACTCAGAAGGACAGGTATAAACCAGAGATAAACGAGAGATAAACGAGAGAGAGAGGACTGTCTCTTAAGTTATGTTCATTAGGAATAAACACGCAACACCAACACTCATGGCAATTATGAATTATTTAGAATGAAGAACTGGTAACAAACTAGATCTAAGAAGAAAGTAACAAATATACAGCATGGTAACATTCAGAAGGAGAGGTAACTTCAAAAATAAACACTCAAGGCAAAATATTGTAGCTCATTTTACTTAAATTACCTACTGAGAAGCATTGCACATAAAAGAGTGATCAGGTTGTCTATGAGGGTGTTGACAACATCTACTGGATCATTTGGTACAGCAAAGAACCCTAACGTGGCCTGTCAGATTCATCTAGAAGTTCAGATTGATGAAGCATTGTCACTTATACATTCCTAAAATTTAATGATAGCACATACCTTCATTACATGATCTCTAGTTTCCACTGTTAGTTTGGGCTCTACAGAGACCAATGTAGTGCAAGCACTTAAAGCAAGGGCCTATATAACATCAAACAATAAATAAATCAAAAATTGTGGCAAAAGCTGCCCAAAAGTCTTCATCCAGAAACATTTCCACAACCCTTACGCATACCTGAGTACGTAAAAGTTCATTGTAATCAGCAAAGTTATCATTGTCATCTCGACCCATCAACATTAATATATAACCAAGCAATTGATCCCTTCTTTTCAATGGAAATGGTGTGCCACTCTCAGCAGCGTTAATAACAGCATTACCTGCAATAGCGTCAAAATCACATTTCATTCGTTCACAAAATTATCAGGACGCACTTCATGTTAGTTTTCAAAACGCGTCATGATCTATACTCAAAGTGAGGGGCAATCCCCTTCTTTCAATCACAAAAAGTGCATTGTCACGCTTATCATGATTTATCCTCTTTTTTTTTTTTAGTGAATGTTCTGGTTTCTTTTAGGAATTAGGAGGGCATCATACCTTCACTCCCCTTCATTGTCAAATAAAATTTCTTTGCCTCTAAAAAAGAATAATTTAAGAAAATGCCCAGAAGAGGGGAACATGTTTAATCGGCAAATGAAAGAATCCCGCTACCAATGCCAATAGATTTGACACAATTCTCTCACACAACAATAAGCAATAAAAGGAGGAGTTTTGCACAGCAGATCCAGTGGGGCATGTTAAATTTACATCACTTGCGCCATTCAGTTTTGGTTTGTAAATGGAGTATTCCTGTTAGGATTAATAGCATATTCTTTATTGTTATGGGCAACATGGAAAAGCTGAAAAATATCGCAACACCCAGCATGTAGAAGGAAAAACTATAGGTACTATTGTACTAAAAATAAAAACAGAAAACGAGAATAACATTGTAAAGTTACAATAGCATCATCTGACCTAATAAATCAATTGCTGTAATGACAGCCTGCTTGGACCTGGGGTTTCGCACATGTAGAAGCCTTGAAAGCATGTTAGTTCCCTGCAATACAAGTGACTTAGAATAAACAATCCCCAAAAATTGAAATGCAATAAAATCAGTTTTGCCTGATTTTAAACATAAATCATTTCCGTAAATAGATATCAACTTTAAGTGAGCGATATGTGTCTTTCAAGAAATACGACCATCCATTTAAATATCCTAGAAGAAAAGATAGACACTTTTCATGCGAAAACATGGAATTATTACAATAATTGATAATTAATAATCAATTGCACTGTTCCAAAATTGGAAGCAACATTCTCTTGCTTGGTTCATTAATCAGTAAACAACTCTTCTGATCAAATAAGTGAGGATTTCTGCAGATATAGAAGCTGCACTGGTATTTCCTTTGCAAATAATTATACTCCGCTTAACAGTTTGATGCATCACTTCAACATGAATTAGATTCTACGCACAACATTTAACATTTAAGTATATATGCCTTATATTGTATCACATTAAAAGACACAGACCTACCGTGATTCAAATCAATAGGGAACTGTATACAGGGGTCTCATCAAAAAGTTCAAAATTATACAGATTATGGCAGACCAACAGCCAAGGACACCATCACAATAACAAACTAAAATGTGTTAACAAAATCCTAGAGCACATAGCATATTGTGTTGTGCAAACTATGCAAAAATATAAAGCATAATTTTAGAAAATTCAAAAGATATGATAATGACAAATATATATAAAAACAACCTCACCTAAAAAAAGATAATATAATAATCACTTCTCTTTTTTTTTTTTTTGAAAACAAAACAAGCACTTAACATGAAACGTATTAACTTTCAACGAGTTCTAATTCTAAGCTTCACCCGAAGGTAACTAGAACATTTCCTTTCACCAGGATCTGATGATTAGATGCAACATCATCACAATGATCCCCATTTTGCAATCCTTCAACATCCTCTCACTTCTGAGATATCGTTAGCTTATCAACCATATCAAGATCACAAGAGGAGGATGCCAATGCCCTCTTCCCGTGTTGTTGATATGGTAAAATGAATGATAAACTATTAAGTATTGATTGTCCAAGGACGGGAGAAGTGAATCTCGGGTTGGGGCCTTTGCAAAATCACTTAAATTAGGTCACTGTTGCCCCGTTTATATAGTGTGATAGTAGCACACTGCGTAGGCTAAAGCTACGTAAGAATAGCTCTCACAGCGCAGCTAAGGTCAGGATATTCGTAAGTTGCATAATGTGGCATAGTGCCAAGAGCTGTGGCATTGAGCTATAGGCTATAGTGCATTGTGAGGCAGAAACATTCTGGTAGAACTGAGGGAAGGGGGAGAATAAAATGGCAAGCTTACCAGGGTAAAATGACATGTTATTTAACAAATTAAAATGGTAATCTCCCTCATCTTTTTTCAATAATAATAATAACAACAATAATAAGATGGTAATCTCTCCCCAAAATCAAGACAACCGAAGACAGATCATCATAAAGAGAATAAGTCATAAGAGAGAGGATGAGAAGACCTACAATAAGGGCATTTATTCTGGCTTCAATAACCGTTGATGGGGCATACTTGGCAGCATATCCATACATAAGAGCCAAAGCAGCATGTATGTCATCGGTGTCTTCTGTCCTAAAACTATCAGAGAAGAATGACAGTATCCTGAACAGATGAAACACAAACATGTCAGATAAATGCCCAAAAAAAAAAAAAAAAACTTGTATCAGCAAGAATATTAAACAATAGAGAAGCAATTAAGGGCTGATGAATACATTGCTATCATGTTCTGAAGCATTTAAAATTTGAATGTTCTGATCCAAAACAAGATGTCCCATTCTGGCAACCTTCCCACCATTTGTTAACAATACAGCTTCATCTACTTAGAGACAGATTTATTTCAGAAGGGCAGCACATCAGACAGGAAGGCGCCTTTTTATGCACTAAATTAACATATCAAATTTAAATTGTAGAGACAGAAACTTTTTTCTACTTTCAGTAAAAAATGCATTGAAATTAGACATTCGCACAAAATAATTCGTAAATTATTCATGCCGCTGATAAGTAAAACAATATTAAAAGATAAGTGTATGCTCTTAATCCTATAAGTCTGGCATAAACCTATTAAGCATGCTCTGGCCGACATTATCCAGAATATCCTTTAGCTTCCCCAACACTGTATCCAAGTGAGAAGCAGCAGCCTTATAATCACAAACGGCAACAACAACAAAAAAGGAAGTTAAATTAATAAGCAACAAGAAATGGAAAGACCGTCAAACAAAAGAAAATTAGAGAGTACCAATCCCATTGCTTTTGCTAACCCAAGCCTATTTGCTGGAATAGCAATGTCAGCCTGTATATACATCCAATCTATCTTTTCACGAACATAAGCTCTGTCATTAACCTTTTGAAGAAGCATTCCCAGGCATCTGCATTCAAAACCAATGTCATTTCGCAAATCCTTTCCAATCTTAAACAAGCAGAACTCATATTTGACACAGTAGCCATAGAGTGACAAAAAAAAGGGTCAATAAAATTGGAAGTAAATGCAATATCAATAACGGCCATCTATAGAGTAGGACATTATGGCTGTGTTTCAGCTCTTTCAGTCTTCATTCTCAAATGAATTCAAGTTTACATTCTCACTCTTTTTTTCTTTTTAGGTTGAAACTTCATTAACTTACTTTTGAACGTATCTAGACAAGAACATGTTTGTGTTGTTAAAACAAGAGTCATAAAGCAAGTATTAATATAATAATATGTTTAGGACCATTTCATCCCATAAACAGAACTCTCAAGCTGTCAAGTGGATGTTCATTATTCAGCTTGGGCAACAATACCCACCCAGGAAAAAAAAAAAACACACACACATACACACACACAGAGCAAGCTTTTGGGACCAATATGAATAAAGCACAGATCCTCCTTTTGCTCAAACATAATTTCAAGCTACAAGAATAGGAATGGCAAATATCAAACTCTTGACAACTTCATCATGGAGGCTAACATTCTATGTCATAAACCATTTCATCCAAAACCCTTAAGCGATTAGGTAAAAATTCAAGACTGATCTTATCCATATATCTAACGTGGTCGAGAAAATAAGCTGTAATTGAGGCAGCAATTACTATGAGTCCTAAAATTATGGAAATGGTTTTATCTCAAAATTCAAAGCAAGAATGATAGAAATTCTAATAAGACAAGCTTAATAGAAAAGTGAGAAGATTTTCAAGATAATATGTGTCAAGATTAAAACATGGCAAAAGGCCATCAGAAGTGCAATTTGGTGTGTCAAAATCAGAGGATGAGAAGGAGGAACACCCAGGTTATGTTTCTATTAAAGAGAATGAAGGAAAAAGGAAGGAAGATAAATTTTAATTGAAACATTTTCCTTGATTTAGATGTAAATCTAATATTTTTTCCCTTCCCCACAAGAATATGATCGGATCAAAGAGCAGGGGAAACATATCTTTAAATATTTATAAAAAAACCTGTGTTTAGATCATTTATGTAAGCATAAGTTGTCGATTCTCCTCTACAAAGGAAATCCAGCAAGCGAAATGACTGACAGATTCCAGCAAAAGTAGTCATTGTCGTTTAAGAAGGAAATTGACCGTGAAGAAAGAAAATAGTTTCTACTATCCAGAGGCAGCCCTCCCAATCCTGATATTTTCTCTGCATTTCTACTCCCTTCAACATAGCCTGAATCCCCTCCAACAAACAAGCACTCATATCAAGCTAGCTCTCTGCTCCTTCCTCCACCTCACGCACCCAACTCTCATCATGTAAGTGCTAGTTATCCCTGGAAACCTCATCACCAGGGATAGTGCATCCTTACTTGTTCCATTATTCTTTCTGTAATGAAAGTCTGAGGCCCAACACGGATAAGTCTTTTGCAATACTTGTCAGGAAGGCTTTAAACTTAAATATTTCCAGCCCGGCAAGGATTAGTCTCATGTCAGACTTGAGGTTACCCAAGTTCACCAAAATAAAGAAAGAAAGGGGGGGGGGAAAGAGCGAGGCCCATTAAGATTGGGCCCACCAAATATAAATATAAATGGTTCAAAATTCAAATTAAGATTTCTGTTCTCTTCCATCCCCCTTCGTTCTCCACAATCCAGCTAACCCTCAAGCAAATTTAACTTTTTTAAATGGGATTGAAGATTGTAATGAATCATGAATTGACATTTAAGAGGGTCATAGCAAACACATATCTTGCAAACACAACTGAAACCCGTTTTCCAATCTATAATCTATATATGGCATAAAACATCAGGAAAAAAAAAGAACTTTTCACACAACATAAGCCAATGTTTATCAGGTCATGCTCTCGTTAAGTCTAAGAATGCACACTTAAGGCGTGGAAGCATCAGTACCTGTGAAGAAGAGCAGCATGTTCATCATCAGATGCATAAAGTTCATAATGTTTGGCAAAAATATTACCAAGAGACATGATCCAATCTGAATCCTGAATCACATCCAAAGATTCTGCAAGAAACTGCCACAGAAAGACATCAACAACGTTTAGATCTCCTGAGCCTGCACACTTTTTAATTTTAATTCTGCGAACTATCAGAGACATGTAACTCTGCCAAATTAGCCATGCACAACTAGAGTAAACTTTTTTGTCTATCTAGATGACAATTTTAATAAGCACACTGACTTTAGAGCTATGATTTAATGTCCAAGAAACTTTCTATTTTTTCTCCCTAAAATTGGCCTAATTGGAACTACAACAAACTTAATCAGCAAAACAGATCAAGAATCCGCCGTTCTTAAAGAAAGCATGTCGCAGACTGACCACGAACTTTGGTTTCACAGAATGCATTCTTACCAAATAAACACATTGATAACAGGATGGCTAAGAAGTCAGTCATACTCACATTGATTATCATGTCATCCCAAGTGTCTTGATACGATGCATCCTGTTTCAAGTCTTCTGTATCACTAACATATGCCTTCATCTTTGGAATCTAGAACTTACCAAATCACCAAATAATTACATTCAATCAGTGATAACCAACTCAAAATTGTAATTGACACAAGTTAGCAGGACATGACATATATAAGACTAAGAAGCCAATTGTTGATTTATCAATAAAATTTAGGACAGATGCTAATATGCGTTATGAAATGATAAATTGTCCGGACAATACACAATTAGAGAACTCAACAATGATGTAAATTCATATAATCTCAGAATTTACCAAAACGAATGTTCAAGATAAGACAATGCTAAAACCCCAATGATATGTAACTGTATTAGCAATCAAGTATGACAGGCGTCACCATTCTACAAGAAAGATTTAAGATAATGGCAATTTGACTGTTTCCCAACATTTATCAAAAGGCATTCACATAGAACTTGGGATTCAAACCAGTACAGTTGAAATTCAACATACAAAATATTACCTCATCTTGCCACAACAAATCGATGTTTTTTGGAAACAAAGGCGCAAGATGATAAAGAACCTGCAAACACAAGATTTCTATCACCAAACACTTAAGGAAATTAATGCATTTAATGTATTCCCAATTTTAAAAAAAAGGCCGGAAACTAGTCATCCTAGTGTTGAAAATGTACATATCATAAGTACACAAAATAACAAAAGTATGTTGACAACTTGTCCTTACCCTTAGTGAAACAGAAACAAGATACAGAATATGTTGAGTTTTGATTCTGGTCCGCTCGTTCATCACTTGAAATTCAAACCTAATCTCATTTATGGCCTGAGTAAAGCACGTTTTAGTGAAGACTGAGGACTGTGTTTTTTTTAAGCAACAAGTCAGCCCTCTGATTTCCTTTTTTAGCTAGCTTTTGTTCATAAATTTATATAGTTCTTAATTTTGCCATTTATGCTTTTATAATTCATGGGATTCACAAGCAGCTTTTTTTCCCAAGGATCTCCTGTACATATACATCTTATTCCATTCCAACGAACTAAGAAAACATAGTACAATTTAGGGGGAAAAAAAGAAGAGAGGCCAGCATATCATTTCTCTAACTTTAAGGTATCATAACCAACCAGTGGAGAGGAGAGAGGGTCTGATTATATGTGAGTTCCTAAAAAAAGAAAATAGAAAATTATTCATCTAAATTTCTTCAAAATATAACAGTCAACCAAGGTAAGAAACTGCCCAAGATAAACAAGCAAAATTATTAACATCATAACTGAAAGAAACAAGTATAACATGGTCTTAGCATTTATTACATCAAAAAGAATTATCTATGCCAGTCTCAACAACATTTGAGCCTTGAGACACCCTAGCAGATTCTTTTGCGACAAGTATACGTCAAAGAATAATTAAAAACAATAGAAGAAAAATTCTCAAGGAAGAAACATGCTCACAGTCAAAATATGGGTAGCCAACTGCTCCCTTGCCAGAGGATTATGCAAAAGAACCACCAAACGAGCAAAAAGATCCTATAATAATCATCAAAAACATGACCCACAGATCATTCTCATTATTGGATACAAGCAGAATTTTTCATTCATTCTTTTCGACATTAAACATAGGATGATATAAAATGATCTGATAGAAATCAGATGTTGTGGCAGAAATTTTACCTCAACAGCCGGCATACCAGCATTGTTTTTACACTCACTCAACATATCATTGTTGTGCGACCTATGCCGCCACAATTCAGATATACACCTGCAAACCTATAAAAGTGGAAACATATTTTCAGATTTGCCTGGGAGAACTCGGTATTATCAGAAACAGACAAAGTCAAAACTGGTGAACCAATGTTCCCCATCTAGAACTTCACAAATCTGATCACAAAGGTACTATTTGGTACGAAGCATTGAATATGAAGGATAGGGATTGGGATTAAGATTGAGAACAACTATTAAAGGAGGGTTTAGCATGAGAGATTGCTTGTTACCTGGGAGTAGACAAACCCATATATGTGGGATTGAGAAATACCTTAGGGGGAAGGGGTATTCCCCAATTCTACCTCCATGGGTTTGACCAATCCCATATAACAAGCAATTACTCATACTAAAGACTTTTTTAATGAATTTTTTCAATTGTAATCCTGGTCCCTACCCCTCATTTTCAATGCTTCGCATCAAACGGGACCAAAGAGAACTGGTCAAAACTGGAAAAATCAGTGACTACTTCAAACTTTTTTAGTAGTTAGTACAAAGCAGCATCTTTTTCTGGTATAGATTATTTTTCTTCCTATACTCTAGTATTATACAATCATTATGCTTATAAATTAACAATCATAGATTTACTTAATGATGAATATTATGATAATGGATTATTAGTTTACTATTTTGAATTCAATTTGTGATTATGAGTGAATATTAACTCATTCCTGAAATCCATAATAGTTTCTTTATCTATCTAATATTTTACTATCCAAAATCAAAAATATATTTTTATTACTATGAATCGTGATGTAACCACAGTTGAACTAGTGAATATTAAACTTGTGCCTTGACCAGTTTGATCACCAATCCAGTTTTAAGAATATTGGGAAAATTTGTGCAAGAATAGAACATTTCCACAGCCAGCGCATGCACATGCACATGGACTGAACATCACAGCTTCTACAAGAAGCAAGATATAAGGAGGACAACAGGGAAAAAGGATGCATTCAGGCAAAAGGATGCCAAGTTCTGGCAGGCATAGGTAAAAAAAATTAGTCAAGCATCCGAAGATGAAGTTCAAGGACAAGGTGGAGGGAGCCATGATACCAACGCGTAAAAGAAGTCAACCACCCAAGAATCAAGTTGAAGTGCTATATTCTACGTTTACAAACCAACAGGAGGATTTACCATGGCAACAGCACTTGTATAGGTCCGTGGAATAATCATTTTCAGCAGAAAAGGCCAAAGAATGTGCTGTAGAAAAGTTAAATATCAATTAAAATGCATTTCCATGTAATTAACAAATAGGAACCATTAGGATAATCCCCACAAAACAAGTTTAATCACAACCATAAACTGATACAAATATTCAATTTACCTCCATTTCAGGAATCGTAATAGTTATCAGAAGGAGCCCTTTCTCACAAATTGCTCTCAAGTCCCCTGAAGTCACAGCACTAATTTTCATCTGCTAAAAAACAACATGCTATAAGTTTATCATGGGCAACTGCAAGAAATATATTATCATCATTATTACAATTACAATGTCCAATGAAAGAAGTGATCTGATTGAAGAAGATATATTAAACTTCAACACAAGGAGATAACAAAGCAAGAATTTGTAGCACAGGAGTTTCCCATGACATCAACCTAGAAAACTGCTCCCCTATGAAATTAACCTAACAAGATACAATGGAAACACTGAGAGCAAAACAGAAGTGCAAGGCTTAGACAAGTAATTTATCATAAAATACATATTTGTAATCAAGGAGCCTCTAAAAAATCTAGCACCAAGTTTGTAAAACCATTTATTATAGAAACAACTCAGGATAAAAACCAATTTAAAGGACAGGGAGGACGAACACATGGATACCTCAACTTTCTTATTTGGCCGGTTGTCAATATCACTCTGATTTTGATCTGTCAGAGCACAATGGCGCACAAGATATTCAATGAACAACTCACCCGACGAACCAACCAAGTAACAGTGTGAAGCCATGACCACAATCAACTACCAACAAATTAAAGCATATCAAGTGAAGAAGGAAAAAAATCACAAAATATAAAACACTAACCAAAAGAGGCAAGGAGAGTAAGGATTTGAAACAAACCAAAGGAATATTTGTTATGGGTTACCTCTGATAGTGCCTTTTGGACACCTAAATTCTGCTCATCTAGCAAGGATTTTACAGCTTCAACTAGCAGAGGCCTTTTATTGTGCCAAACTTCCAATAACCTTCAAAAAAGAATACTCACTCAACTGAAACTAGGGAAACAAGGTCAAGAATGATCAGCAATAGAATTGGGAAATCAAATAACCTGGGCAAAAGGTGTTTCAGAACACAAAGTGCACTAAAGGTCAATGGCTCTTCCCTCAGCCTGCATTTCTGCCAAAAGAAGATTCTTTAATACAGTGATAGAAAAATGGAATATAATAATCCTCCTCAACGCAATACAAAAGCACGAGACTTCAGCAATTTTTTATAAGGGAAAAAACTATTGAAGAGAAGAGAAAAGCAGTTTAAAAATCCAAAGACAGGTCCTCCCAAAGCAAAAACAAGTTACAGACTCATTAGATCAGAAGAGCTTTCCAATCCTCCTAAGTCGTCAATAGTCACCACTGTCCAAAAGAACCATTTGCCCAAAACCACAAGGAGGGCAAGAAAACAATTATCTCCCATATAAGACGGGATGGGGGGAAATTTTGGTTGAACGCTCACATTTCCTTCTCATCAAAGACACCATAAACCACCTGAGACTGCACACTGACAAAGAACTTAATGGTCATTTTCCCGTCCAAAATCAATGAATTTATAGGCTAATAAGCTAGCGGATTTACCAGACACATCCATTGCTCCTGAAAAATACTAATCTACTCCAAAAAAAACCTCCCAGAAACCAGCTATCAGTGAAATTTGGATATGGGTCTGGTTACAAATAAAGGATTGGTGATTAAAACATCTGAAAATCATGGGAGAAGTACAAAATAATAAAATCTGATAGACAAGCCTAATATCATCGAAAAATAAGGAAAGGAAAAATAACAGAGTAATAGCAAAGTCAAACTTCTAATCACGACCAGTCCAAGAGGGCCCACCATTGGGCCTCTACATCATCAACTCTCTTTTCTTCAATAAATTCCTTTTTCTTCCATAAAAAATCCTCTTTTCATCAAAACAAAGCAGAAAGCAAGAAATTCAGCAAGAAATAGCATTTCCAGTGAAGATAGATCACAAAGATTTGCAGGAACTTACATTTACAAGGAACACAAATAAATCATCTGGATACACCAAGCCGATCCAAAGAAAGCAATGCTGAACCTCATTATATGTCTGTAATACAAATCAAAAGAACCTCATTTAAGAGAATTTGTTTGGAAAGAAAATACTGGTGAAGTCAGCAGATATACATCATTTTACAACATCCACGAAAGCATACAATGAAGCAAGAAAGAAAACCATCCTAAAAGGCTTTCCAGTAACTCTGCCTTTCTGAAAGGCTTTCTCCCACAAAGAAACCAATAACCCCCAGCAACTGAGCAAAGCCTAGAAGACAGCTCTCTCAAAATAGAGCTAAGAACAAGCAGTGCTGACTGAAGTTAGTAATATGCTCTCAGACGCTTGTGCAAATAAAGAACATCCCTGCAAAAATTAAGCTCACCTGCGTTTCACACAAGCATGCAGTGCAAAGCCACTAATAGCAACACAAACTTATTGGAGAAGAACAGTATCCTCTTCACTGTAAATTAAATAAAAAGGGGGAGAAAAAAGTCGCCAGACAAAGGAGACTACTCAAAACTACTCCAGTTGGAGCAGGAATCCAGCAGTACAAGGCAGGAAATGGCCTCTCTAAAGTCTTTACTATTTTTATTTTGTTTGGAATTCTTCTCAGTTGTGCTACGTTGAGCACCAGTGATCTGCAAGGACCTTAATGGTGGTAAGGTTTTTGGCAGCATTTGGGATAAGGTGGAGTAGCTCTTGTCTGAAACTGTAATCCAGAATCTTCATCCCTATCATAGTCATTTTGTACAATCTGCAATGTGCAGTTTTGAGCAAACGACTAATATGACCTATCCTTTGCTATGATGTGTTTGTACACATGGGTTGTGGGTTATGTAGTATGAGTTGTACAAATATTTCCGTTGTTAAATGAAGTGACTGAATTTCCCTGAATTCCCACTGCCATTACAAAACATTTCCATGCTCTCTCTGCTGTTAGTTCTTCGATAGGGGAACTCTATCAAGGTCCCAAAATATTCAAGAAATTTAAAAAATTATATTGGGAATTAAATGAATGAATATAAAATTTAACAAGAGGATCTTAGGATACTATATGAAAATTACTCCAAGGGAATGAAACGTACAACATACCTTCAGTCCTACTTGTCCTTTGCTATCAGTATTGATGCATATCACCATAAGAAGTGTGGACAGTATAGGTTCTAGGTCCTGCAAACCCACACCAATGGGTTAATTTCTGCTCTTTTTTTATCGTAGGAGTATATTTCATTCCCTTATCAACTTTTTTCTTCTTTATTAGTTTTATCCTGTCCACTATTTTTCTTCTCTGTTAATAAAAATAGTAAATTTTCTTTTTCATAAAAATGAATTCTTAATGGACTAATTATTGCAGGATAATATAAAAAGCAACTACTTTACAAGAAAGGAGGAAGATAAATTACACCAGCCACATTTATGGAGCTCTCACAATAGAGTTGCATGAGGGAAGAATTCAGCTGAATAAATATTTCAGTTCAAGGGGCATTCCTGAAAAATGTTTCAAATCTAGCTTTGCTTTGGTCAATATAGCATTTGCTATGAGTATTATACCCACTTTCATGTCACATTTCCAACAAATATGAAAACCCTTTTTGATTCGTGTGTTTATTTGATGACTGGTATATCAATAAAATTGAAAAATCACATTACTCACTAGAACAATCGCCAGTTTACTCAATATAAAAGTGTTTCTATACTCATATAATTAGACAAGCGTTTATATAATCGTATAATTAGACAACTGTTTTTGAGGACAATCACATCATTCAATAGAACAATAAGAATCAATCACCTAAAATTCAACCGCTAGTTTACTCAATAATAAAAAATCACAAAAAGGTAGATAACTATTAAAAAAGAAAGTGAAAGAAGGAATTATCTTCGTGACTTATGTACCAACAAAAAGAGCAGGTAGCAAGGGACTACCTTGCAACACATTTGCAGGTCTCAGTGGCAAGCGAGACATAATTAGCATCTATGATCTAACTCAAGGCGTAGTGGCACCAATAATAACAATTACAATTAAAGCAGTCAAAATTGTTATTAGGGGTGATATCATGTAACCATTATCCTAGGGATTATAAGATGATTATGTGGGATTATTATTATTTTTTAAACTCATAGCCCTGATGCCTCGCTTGATCCTTTGCTCCTAATCTATATATATGACCAGTGACTCCCATGTTTTTTGAAGGGAAACTGAAACTAATATCAAGTCAATAAAACATATACAACAAAAGTCTAAGGCTTCTATTTATTCCCATCATCAATCACCGCCTCTATCAAATGAGGTGGGGGTTGATAAAGGGACAAAAAGGATCTATAAAATCATGAGCTTTCTAGCTAAACAATCTGCTGCAGTATTATTCTCTCTCAAAAAAATTTCAAGGAAATTATCCATCCTTTCCTGGAGTCTCTCCCATATTTAATACAATAAACAATATTAGGAAAAAAAATCTCCTTTGATTTGATGCTTTGTTACAATAGACCAACTGTTAGGTTTTCTATCTCACATCACCATTTTTCTTCTTTTACAACACTAATGAGAATGAAAAAACATAGAGTTTAGCAAGGGGAAAAAGTGAACATCATTTTTTCCCAGGTTTGACCATTTACTTTGTTAATCTACACAATGGTGCCATATCAAATGAACCCGTTGAATTCTATCATATCTTATACTATCCTATAGTTTTAAGCCACATTATATGGCATAAGTAATTTATGAGCATTATAACAGTAATGTATGAGTATGATTTTGCATGTCAAGACTCGTACAATCCTCACTAAATTCTGCATTATGTTTCAATCTTTCTAGCCCCTCTACCATTCTTACCAAACGTGGAAAAAAACAAGCACCCATATAAATGTGCATTCAAGGAGTCATTCAGCATTTGAGTGAGGTAGGAAAATAGGAATTAAACCGAAATGGATAATATTTATTGTTATACCATTCATTCACAAGATAGGAAAGCAAGTCATAAAGCAAACTAATAAAGAAATATCTCTTATCATGTGTAAATACATTTCTGTTCCCAATATCACAATTTCCACCTGAAAGACCTTTTTGCCAGGACCAAAAGGATATTAACAGGCGTGGAAGTAAGTACCCAAAGAAATATTGAAGGTTTCCAAACAACAACAATGTGCTCAATCCAAATGATGCCAATGAAAAATATAGAGAAATTTGCTGAAATTAAAGAAAAGTGGCCATCCTCCCAATTATTGATAAATATTAAAATGAATCGTGCAGAAATATTTGAAGTTAAAATATCCAGTGGCGCAAAAACTGAGGACGAAGATACTTAATGGACCAGCAATGTTCAAAAGAAACGTCATTGTATGAATTACCTCAAAATCAATCATAGGAGGACCACTTTCAGACAGAAGAGAGGCAGTTAAGAGGCTGTGAAGACTGGATGTTGCCAGAAAAGCAATATCTTGATCCTTTTTGTACCTAAGCAGAAAGGAGGAGAATAATATACACTTAAATCATTGTTAACATTTTGAATACATCTGCCTAGCATGAGAATGCTCTCAGCTACGCAAGGAGGAAGTTCCTTAATTAATATTCACAAAGCTTAAAAAATTAGCATGCGATGGTTGAAATGAAGATTGAAACAATAAGCAAATGATTCTTACAAATCCAATATGGTAGGAATAAGCCTTGGTAAAGCAGCCTTTAGTTGGTTACGTGATATGAGACCAACCATCTGACCCAAGGCTTCCACAGATGCCACACGAACCTATATACAATACGCCAAAAAAATTTTTATTAGAAGTATATTAAAATAAGGCAAATACATACGGTAAATGATATATTAAAAAAATGTGGTTAATAAATTTTGAAAAAAAGAAAAAAACAACACTATTTGTGCTTGAAACTACAGAACCATGGCTCGGAATTATGACGAGTAGCTTTGATAAAACAATTCACGTGTGTATTTTGAATTACTGAAGTAGTCATACTCTCATGGGTTATTTGCAAGTGCTTTATGTACAATACACTACATTTAGCAATAAAAATTTATTGGCCGAAAAAAAAAAAAAAGAGTTCACATAAATTGATTCAACCACAGCATTTTTTTTCACTCTATAAAAAGATAAGAAGCTAAAAAAATTTTCCCTTGTCCAACTCTTCCGCCAACCAAAAAATTAGTTTCTTAGAATAATGAGACAACTAGGTTGTCTGTCATCAATTAGTGGGTGGGGATTTTAGATGCTCCACTATAGTACTTGACCTGGTGAACAACCAGCAGATGTTTCTACTAAAGCTCTCAACGGTGGGAGTTTATTACATTTGCAACAAGATTACATGCCCAAAATATAGGGGAGTGTCAAAAACTGAGACAACTAGGTTAGAATATGAGTCATGAGGTCATCAAACAGTGGGTTGGGATCGTATTAGTTAACTCCACAACTGCACTTGACCTATTCTAGTTAATGAAAATAGAGCAAACAGAAACCTAAAACAGCGAGTTTGTGATTCCATTTCGACTCTTCTTGCTTTTCTCATGCTAACTAAATTTAACATAGTTAATAAGAACAAACCAAAAGCGATACAATAATCAACAAGGCATCTAAGAAAGAAAGAAGAAAAAATGTGAACATTGTGACTCATTTCAACTCAGGTTCTCTGCCGATTCTAACTGCAAAGAAAACCACGAACATTTTGGAGAAAAGGACCAATATTTAGGTAAACTTGTATAGGTGTTTGCTACCAAGTTCTCCAATGAAGCAAAATATGTAGAGGAACTTCCTTAAAAGAACCAATCATGCGATGTTGTGCCATAAACAATATCCAAATATCACAAATGTATTGGAAAACCTTGCAGCAAACACATCTTCAAAGGATACCTAATTTGCGTAATGATGTACAATGAAAGTATAAACATAACTTTAATTATGTACATGAGTAACATTCTATGAACTGGATAGTTAATCAGATAAAAAGAATTCAAATGGCCAATGAACTTCAAAAATTAAATCACACTAACAATTAAACTAAGAAGAAAGAGACTAAGATTAATAATAATACAAATAAAAACACGACAGTCAGTTCCAAACCTTTAGATCCCGAGAAGCTGACCACACTCTAAGAAAAAGCTCAAATGCGGAATTTAAAAATGACCTGCGTTACATTCATATACCCCTTAGAAAGGCAATAAGAAAAAGCAATGTGGAGAATTAGAAAAACAAAAACAAAGACTAGGTGACTCACATGATATCCCCATCAAGGGGTGAATGTGAAGGAAAATCCACACTATATTGCCAAGCAGCTTGACACCAACACTTAAATGCTTCAAAAAAATAAGTAATATAACAATCAGCATGCTAATATTAGTTAAGCCAGCAGCATTATAAGTAAGGAGGAAAAGAAGAATTCAACCTACAACTAGTGGAAAAAGGACATAATCTACAGCTTCATGCCTACAAGAACATAAAGGTTCGCAAGGAGGAAAGGGCAGCGGGCTCTTTGTGCATGGTATGGCAAGAATGATATAAATAAAATAAACTATAATAATCTTATACAGGATTTTATGAGTTTGTTCCATGCCATTGCCAAAAGGTGTTAAACAGTAGTCAAATAAAGGAGGTCCTGTTGTTCAAGCTAATCTACTTGATAAGGCTGGATAGCAATAATATATTCTGGAGCAAGAAGTTTCCAAGACAATTCATGCTTGCTTCAAAGAAATATATAACCGGTATTGACTAAATTCACCACAAAACAGTTTTACATGCAATTGAAACTACCCAATCAACTCAGACAGTGCCCATTCATCTGCTACGTCAACCAGATCAGTACTGGCCAAAAAACATGCCACATCCAACCATTAATATCCTAGCTGAAGTTGAAATAACATCACATGTCCATTAGAACAAAAACAAAAATAATACCATTGGCAAAAATTGGCCGATGTGCATCTCTCACATTTCCAAGAATTGGCAGAATTCGTGAAAGGACACCTTTCCATCGAGGGATAAACTGCAGTGCTGTAACAGATTTAAAGGGAAGAGCAGATAATTTTTAGACAGGAATTACATGAAAGAATGAGAGGATATCCTCCTAAGGCAAGATGAACCAAGACCAAACATCTTTGCATATCCAACAAAGTTTTTTTTTTTTTTAAATGTAAACAAACAAAAAACAACGTATAGGTAAGAAAGATAATAGACAGAAACAAAAGCAGACGACAAGAGATCCTTATCAAACAAAAGTGGAAATAAAAAGAATACAGAGTAAGCTCCATTGCGGATGAGCACTTATCCCTCAGAAGATTCCCAAGGGGGGAAGAAACCATTCATCAAACCCACGAAAACATAATGATAATCCTCTCCCGAGGACTTGTGACATGAACTTTTTGACTAAACGTCCCAAGGACTTGTGAGATGAACTTTTTGACTAAACATCCTTGCATTCTATTCCAACCAAAGACACTATAAACATGCCAAAACCCGAAGAGAATTTGTGCTCCTTTTGTAGGCCCAAGACCTATGGACTTGATGGCTTGAAAGATAAGCCAGTCAAGCCCAATTCTCATCAAACATAACGAACAGCCCATTCCAAATATGCCAAGCCACTTCACAACGCAAGAAGGTGATTTTAAAATATCATTTTGGATAACAAATTACACATAACCCAACCATTCATAATCCTCTGACCCACATCAAACCTCTCAACTAATTAAGTGGTCACTTCACTCTCCTACTCTTACCAGCCCCAAACCACACGAAGGCCTACATGATCTTCTCAGTCCTATTAGCCACCCCAGCAGAATCTTCAATAACACTGCTAATAATATCAGAACCCATTTAAATCAAATGCTACAGTATAGTGAAGTTTAAAGATTTTCCAATGTAAAACAGTACAGTGAAGTTGAAGACTAAACAGGGGCCTAATTCAAAAAGAAGGTTAGATCTCCCCCCGTGCTGCATTTTCTATTGGCAGACGCACATCAAGCATTTGGGAATTTCCCTTATTTCTGAGGTTTTTTAGAGACTTTTCGTCACTATATTAAACGATTGAGAAACGTTTTCACTGTATCCCCCCCCCCCAAAAAAAAAAAGTTTTTCCAGTGTAGATAAACATCAGAACTTACTACGAGGCTAATTCCACCGCCCAAAAAAATCAATATACTGAAGAAAATAAGATGATTATGGAGATTAAATCACAAAGAAAATTTTGATTGCTTACGATCAGTGGAAGCAAATTTTGCAAGTAGTTGGACCATAGCGAGTAATGCTGAATTCGGCCCAGATAAATGAAGAAAAATTTCTTCCATCATCTGCAATACCCATTCAAATGAGAGATTGAGACAAGATTTAAGTTAGCTTAAAATCCAGAAAAACAAGAAGAGAGAATAAATGAATGGTTTAAAAACATAGAAGCCACAACTACTCTCAATGAAGGTGAAACTGAAAGGCCAAAAGGGAGATGCCATTTGAGCATTGTAAAGTGTAAATAATATAGAAAATTTATTTCTCGGAAAGAAAGCCATTGACTGAATTCATAACAAACCCAACCATCTTTATGGGATTTCTTGAGCTAATATTCAGAGAGACTGGGATGTTTAATCTCGGAAATATTTTTCATTTTGCTTGCCATACTTTTCTACCTCCATCCATGCCATGAAATTGTTCTTCTCTTGTCTATTAAATAAATAATTTACAAAAAAAAAGAAATAAAACCTACTAGGTCAGGCAAATGTGAACCAATTGCGACAAGTAGACCAGATGCAGCTCGTTGCCAATCCGAATTGATTTCCTGCAGAAGAACAGTCGCCATGAATCTTAAGAACTCGTGTACCAGTTGACCAGAAGCAACATCGTCCCGCATGATAAAACACATTACCTTCGAGGATATCATTTCAGCTGTAGCAATCTTAGCGAGCTTTGCCATGAAAGAATCATCGACTTCTCTTTCGTCCAGAGAGCGAACTCCAAATGCCATCACTTGGAAAACAACAGCCATGTTTCCGAATCGCTAAAAAATATTCCAACAACAAAATATTCAACACCCCAAATTACCGAGGAATTAATCATATCTAGTGAATGGAAAAGCAAAAGTAAGTACCCGACGTCCTCCTCGTGAAACCACTGCACAGCACTCGAGAACTAAAAGAGGATCCCTGCAAACACATTCGACCCAATATTCAGTTAAGTTTCGTGAGGAATAAATGAGTAAACTAGTGTAGGTAGAGAGATAATGACAGAGCAGCAATGTCTTTGAGTGAGGCCATGGAGGCCTCCCTGACAGCGGAAGAATCATCGGCTAGTAACGACACCAGCACCTGCACGGCCTCTGCAACAAAGCGTAGCTATGAGATCGAAGATCACGAAAAGTAACCAAATATCGCAATTGGAGATGAAGAATGTACCAGGTGCAGTAATTGAACTCCCAGAAGCCATGGAAGAACTGCACAAAATACAAACCACGGGGAAGTAGAGCAGCAGACAACATAAGAAACCCAACACCGACGAAGGAACGCCACCTTCCTTTTTCTCCGTTCACAAGTGCGGTAATTTGTATGGTATTTTACACTGTATACTAGATTTTCACTTGGCCACCTACCAGTCTCCTCAAGATCCCACCGTCCTTTTTTGAGTGAAAGATCCCCCAGCCTCTGTGGGGAGAGGATTCTGGCGCGCCTTCGTTACAGTGACGGCTAAATAGGTTGGTTAATTGACCGATGATCCAGCCGCATGTGTATTGACGATTTTTCTTTTTTTTTTTTGAACTTCAATTGATTGATTTCTTTCCCTATTTATGCTTGCAGTGGTCATTGAGTGATTAAACACCAGCTGTATCGATGCAATAATTGATATATTTCATTGATCAGTCTATTAGTTGCTCGCAGTCTTACGCACTTCATTTAACTGATTCATTAGTTAATTGATAGGTAAATAAAAGGAAACTCATTAATTTCCTTATTTGTATGGTGTTAATGTTTACCGTGTTACAGTAATGGTTAGTTGGCCAAAAAAAAAAATAACGGTTAAATTGATTGATTTACCAGCTGTATTGATGAATTAATATTTTTTTAAAAAACTTCAATGGATTAATTTCCATATTTATGTGATGGCAAAATTTTTCCTTATTTATGTATTGCATTGATTATTGGTATACATACTGTGTCAAATTTCACCCTTCAAGATTAATTGATACTCTTGATGGATTTTTTTTTCCATATTATTGATGGATCTTTTTTTTGAGAAAATTGTAATGAGATCCCAATCAAGAAAATTGCATACAAAAAAATCACTTAAAATCATCAAATTAATTTGAAATCTCAAACGACCTCGTTGTAATAAATTCTATTTGTTGAATTATCAAATTACCGTTTTTTTAAGTACGTATTAGTAACTAAAAGTGTAATCGTTAATAACTTAAGGTGTAACAAGTAACGATTATCGTGACAGTTATTGATAACTCATGCATTACATTTTTTGTGATGTACTAAGAACTTGTGTTGTTGATATTTACCGCATTTCAAAAAAAATCATTAAAAAAATCATACTTGACATTTGATAGTTATTGCTAATGGATGATAGATAGTAAGTAAGAAGAGAAAAAGACTTCTCAAATTTTTTTCAAGACAAAAAATTAAAAAGATAAAAACAAAAATAAGAAAACATGTAAAAATTATTTTGATTTTTTAGTTTTTCAAAACATGTTACAGTCTTTTGTTTTTTAAATTTTAAAATAATTAACCAAAAATAAATTATCAAAAAATGTTTTTTTTATTTTTTTTATTTTTAAAAACAAAATATTGTTTTTAAAACAAGAAATCAAATAAGCCCTTAATTTCTTACTATAGTTTACTTAATTCAAATTCCACTTTCTGAATTCAATATCAAAGAAGAGTCATATCAACAAAGAATTGGTCTAACAATGTAAAACTCTATTAGATCTTTTTGGGTCTCAAGTATGAGTCCTGAAGAAGATACTTTTATAGGAAGAAAAAACCATGAATCCCGAATTGACTTAACCAGATGATAATATTTTTTTGAAAAAAAACAAAGAGGGGCTGTTTTTACTGCTAAATACTACTTCTGTCCTAATTATAAAAGCCAGTTAACTAATTTGAAGAGATTAAAAAAGTAAATTGAGTTAGTTATTTGTCCTAAATAGATGTTATATTTCCTAAAATATCCTTACTAATCAAGTGTATTGACTAGAACTCTTATTATTAGAAGAATTACTTTGAGAAAAAAAATGTATAAATATGAGAGATAAAATGGATTGGAGTCTAATATTTAGAGCCAAAATAAAAATCAAATAGGGTCTTATAATAAGAACCAGTAGTATAATATTAGTTGTCCCCTCTTGAGATGCAATTTTTTTTTTAACCACTAGCACAAGTAGGCAAGACTTTTTTTTTGTGAGGCAAGAGTTAATTCACTTTTATTTTTTTATATTTTTATAAAAAAATTCCATTCTATCATTTTTCACACCATACCAAATCAATTTAAAGCGAGCATCATTCATTCGATTTCATTCTATTAGTATCATTACCTTTCAGTCGGGGAAAAAAAAATTGCTACCTTTGACCGTCAATTCCACACTGCAAGGACTAAAATGCAACCATAGTTAGCATTTCCACCGGTTGCGAACAAGGGCTTCAGTGAGAAATGAAGCAATGTAAAAATGGATTTCACCTCAACAACAAAAAAAGAAAGAAAGAAAGAAAGAAAGAGCGGTTAGATCTTTATTTTTTAAATAACACTATATAACTAATCCCGAAAACGCTGTGCAATGTGCCCGAGTGAAATTTAGAAGAATGAAACTCTCTAAAATAGACACCAGTCACGATCGTAGTCAAAAAAGGAGGGCCCATTTGGTAAGAAAGGGCCAAGATATTTACATTAGGGGCACACTCCGGTTATAAAAGGAGAACCAACAGGAGCAATAAGGCCCAGGTACCGCATTATCTTCAACCGGCGAGTCTTTCTTTCTGATTTCGGAGGAGATGCCACCTCCTACAAAATAATATCATTATCTAAGCACTACACAGATAAAGTCCTTCTAAAATAATGTAAAAGCCATGCCAAGAACTGGGTAGAGACTTACATCAAAATGAAGCTTGCGCTTGCGTTCTCTTTTACCCCTTCCCGTCTCCTTTAAGTCATCTATCGTTTTGCTTGAGGCTGATGAAGTCCATTTTTCTGATCAAATCATAAATAAATACTATAATAACAACATCAATAAACAAAAGAAGTGCCTTAAATCTTCATTAGTGGCAGCCATAACTTTCAAATGAACATACTACTATACCTGACAATGATAAGCGTATGATATGAAACAGTATACGCGATTCTCTTGGAGATGGCTAGGTGATAAATAGTCCAGTATTTTCAAGACAAATGCAGAAGACTATAAGGATATTAGTTTGAAAGTTAAAAAGCAATCTTATACCACATGAGTGATCTTGCAGATCCGAGCGAGCAGTCCTTTGGGGACTGGACTTACTGTGCGAAATAAGTTGCCCCTTCCTCTGCAAAGCCTACGGTAAAATAAGAGGACAAATGAAACACAAAATTCTTTAAGCTACAATTAAAAAATATGCTTGAGTCAGGGCATACAGAACTGCTTTAGATGAACATACTTGTTTTAGAGCATCTTGGAAGTCTTTTGCCGGGTTACCGCTCCTTTCTTCAAAAGACTGTAACCGGAAGGGGGGGGGGGGGAGGCAGCACAGACATCAGATATTGATAAACACTGGTTAAGAGAAACAAAGGAGGTAGAACCATCCCCCATGCTAAAAATAAGGTCCTATTTCTCCAACAGCCCCTCTTCTCCACAGGTCAGAGATTGGGAAACAAAAGACAAAGTAGGGTAGAAGGATATGAAAAGTGAAAATTACTAGCTTCTCCACTAAATGGTCCACAGAATGCCCCATGAAATACGTGCTGCCTGGCAGCAACTATGGGTGGCAGCGGGATGACTTTTCTTTTAAGAGGTTCTTATTAGTCCTCTTTCTACAGGATTCAGTTCCAGGAAGGTGTTTTAAAATGCAATATCCCAAAGAAGGACTCGAGAACAATAATTAGCTTCCATGTGAGACAGAACGGTTAGAAAAGAACCAAACTCACATCCTCAAATGCTGAAAGATCTTTCAATGGATCAATCCAAGCGCTGTAAAGCGACAAAGTAATATTCAGCTCAATCTTTAAACATGTTAGGCACATCTATGAAACTCGCATGATACTGAAAGTAGGCTACAGTACCAGGGTCGATTCCCATAAAATTGCACCAAGACATGTCCATCGCAGGTCTGGCCTGCTAAGGTGGGTCTTTCTTCCATGATCTGATATAATATTTTTAAAATAAACACAAACAAGTTATGAAGTCAGGGTAAAAAGACAGGAGGTGTTGAAACATCAGCAGCTCACCTCTCCCATGCCATAAACTAATTCATGGTATCGACTAATGTTAAGAGAAAGTTAGACTAGAGGCAACCAAAAAAGCCAAAGGAAAAAAGAATACACATATATATCTATGAGATATTCGTATGGAGAGATCTTAAATCAGTAATCAGTGACTATGACCGAATTCAACAAAATACAATATTTCTACTCCGGCAAACTGAGAAGAGATTTTGCATGAATATTCAACACTGCAAGGCTTAGAAATCCTACTTTTCATTTGCTTCGAATTACATAACTTCCTAAATACCTCCGCAGGCCACCACACTTGACATGATGTTTTTGCCCATACAACACTCCCCGGGGTTATAGTAATACAATTGCTGTCAGTAACAGGTGACTCCCGTTGTGTCGATTCTGATACCTTGAGTGTTTTATTTTTTCCTCGTTTACCATCCCTACATTAAATTCTCAATAAACATAATGAGAGGGAGGGAGGGAGGAGATGCAATACTTTGTATATATTTACACAGCCATGAGAAAAGGTCATCCAAAACATACCTATTGCTGCCAAGGTCAAGAGCTTCATCTTGGATAACTGATTCAACTTCAGATACAGGAACATCAAGATTTTCATCCCTATGAGAACCACTGCATTTAACAAGTGTATCTTCAAGGAATTGTTCTTTCATTCTATCCTCATGTAAACTGTTTGCGGAGACATTGTCCAATCTAACTTCTCCAGAAGATGAACCATGTGAAGAAACTGCAAGATATTGCCCAAAATAAAGGTTAAACATTATTTTGTGACAAAATACAATGATATGAAGACAAAACGGCCATCAGTACTACAGGCAACAATGTGTTTAGTCCTTGTGTACAAATTACAATGAAGTCATCATTTTAAACCCCAAAAGAAAATATTGGTGCATGTGAATTTAAATACAAGAGTGTAACTTTTTAAAGCTTTTATGAGGAGGGTGGGTCGGACAGTTTAGAGTCCTTTAAAGGGGGGGTAGAGAGAGACCGAGGAGAATGCTCAATAAGATCATGGTACGAGATTTTTTGGTTAACAACATATCTAAAGAATTGGTTATTGATAAAACATAATACGTCATGTGATCCATATAGCCAATCTCACCTAATGGGATAAAACTTGTTGTATCATTTAATTAATCCAAGACAAGAAGTTATTGAACGTCATTATCATTATCTATGAACTGAAAGCCGTATTGATGCTTCTCACCCTGCATATAAATACTCCACAATTAGAACACTAAGATCTGCCTGCTATTGATTACTCTGGCATCTGCTGAACCATTTAGTGTGATATCGGCACCATGACAGTTGCCAAAAAAAATTCAACTTATAAGAGCAACAGTCTTAAACTGCATTGCTTTTCCTGGCTTAACCAAGGAAGCAGGGGACAAAAAAAAATTATTGAATAAATACATCAATGTTTTAAGACTATCGTCCAGACCGTTCAAAAAGAAAAGTCATACATTAATATAATGAAGCTAACAAGCAGCCATCCTCCCTTTGACTAATAAAGGAGTGAGAATGCATTTCACAGTATCGACTCAGGATCATTTAATGGTTACAATAAGTGTGAAGATTGATTATTTACGTTTTATTAGATGAATTCTACAAATGGCATAAACATTACTCCAACAACTCAGTGTGCAGTATTTCACAGTCACATGACAGTACTAGCTGTACATCAATAATCCATAGCTAACAACTAACAATTAATTCAAAAAGAAGCGAAATTGGATCAAACCTATAGATAGAAGCTCAAAGGTCACAGGTTCCGGCTGGGTATGCAGTGCATACGTAGAAACAAAGGAAGACTAAGCCGCATGCGTCACAAAAATAAGATAAACCATGATGATCCTCAATAATCAGCAGGAATTGAAAAAAGTTTCAGATTTCTATCCCAATTGGAAGGAAATTCAGTTACCAGTTGAATTGTTGATAATAAACTCAATTACTCAATCCCCATGGTGGTCAACATAATCGAACTTAAAATCAAAACATGTTTAACAGTGATTAGGCAATGCGACGGATCAAGACTTATGGCGGTTAATCAAATAATTTTCACATGTTCAACCAGGAAAACTCCTAGAATGTGGTATGAGTATTGAGAACAGACATAAAATCGAAGAAAGGAAGCAACCTGGGTTGGAGAGGCAAGCAGGACTGCGCATAAACACAGAGAAATCAGTGCGGCGTTTTGGTGGTGTCCTTCGACGCTGTTGAGAATGTTTTGGAATACAATCAGTTGGGACTATCTTTAGGCCCTTCTTCTCAGGTGTCCTTCTCTTCTTTGCCATTGCCCCGAATGGAAGTATCGGTCGGTAGAGAGTAGAGGCAGGGAGGCCAAAAAGTTTCTCAAGGAAAACAGAGGAACCCTAGACCAAGAATAGAGAGACACGGTGTGTTTGATCAATGAGAATAGAATGTGGCAATTGGCAGCATAAAACATTCGACGACAGCTTGAATTTAAAATTCGCCGCCTTCGATGGTTATCCTAATCTCACTTGCTTTGTACATTCCGAGCGTCAAGCGGAATTGTCCCCCTGAAATCTTCCACTACCGACCTAACCACATCCCCGACCTGGCAGATAGAAAACTGCTGATGTTTCACAACTAGGAATGTTGACACTATTCTTTCCTTTTATTCATCTGACGAATTAAAAACAGTCTTTTCCCTTTCCTCTTTTTATTATTTAGTGTCTTGAACAGTTGCTAAACTGCCAATTAGGCGTTTGGCAATAGCGAGGCGCGGGTTTTGAAAAGGAGGTCCCTCCGTCTAATCCACCGGGTGGTGGGGCAGGCATTGCTAGTTGAAACTTTTTGCCAACGCCAGTTCGAACTTGAGACGTGAGGATATCCTTGTTGATGCCCGAGAAAGTACTTTGACCTTCTTTTTTCTTTTTTTGTTGGGAGAGACAGCCAATTATTTTATAATTAAAGTGCATCCAGCACCCCCAAGTATTTTGTCAGGTGCACCCAATGGTCTAAAGTAATTTATGGTACAGTTTTGCCCTCAAAGTAATTAAAATGGTGTACCGGTATCCTATGCTAACAGATCTGTTACTTTGACCGTTAAATTGATGAGTCAGCACAAGTTTGACCAAAATAATCTGACGTGGCATGTCTAATAAGCAGGTGATGTGGAATTTTTTTGGGGGTTAAGGTGCATCCAGCACTTGCAAATATTTTTTCAGTTGCACCCAGTGGCCTAAAGTAATTTATGGTGCAATTTTGCCCTCAAAGTAATTAAAATGGTGCACCGGTATCCTATGCTAACAGATCTGTTACTTTGACTGTGAAATTGATGAGTCAGCACAAGTTTGACCAAAATAATCTACCTGGCATGTCTAATAAGCAGGTGATGTGGATTTTTTTTTGTCTGCCACTGCTTTGTTTTCTTTGTTCAGTAAATGCTCTCTTCGGCTCTTGGAATTTTTTTCATAGTAAGAAATTTTTTCAGAGATACTCCTCTGGTCCTATTTATAAGGTAGAGAGAGTAGATATTTTTTGGTCCTATTTATAAAGCATTGAGAGAAATTTTTTGTATGGATGTACAAATTTATCCCTCATTTATTATTGTATTGACTTTGTTTACATGAGGTATAATGTATATTAAATAGAGATAAAGTTGAAAAGTTATTAAAATTTAAATGAGAGTTGATGAAATTTAAGGTTTTCCTTTGTCTGTGTGAAACATGCTGGAAGTGCCTTATAAATAGAACCAGATGAGTAATATTCAAACAAAACAATGGAATTAACGAGAAAAGCCATGTCACCTGCTTATTAAACATGCCAGGTCAGATTATTTTGGTCAAACTTGTGCTGACTCATCAATTTCACAGTCAAAGTAACAGATATGTTAGCATAGGATACCAATGCACCCTTTTAATGACTTTGAGGGCAAAATTGCACCATAAATTACTTTAGGCCACTGGGTGCAACTGAAAAAATATTTGCAAGTGCTGGATGCACCTTAACCCCCAAAAAAATTTCACATCACCTGCTTATTAGACATGCCACGTCAGATTATTTTGGTCAAACTTGTGCTGACTCATCAATTTAACGATCAAAGTAACAGATCTATTAGCATAGGATACCGGTGTACCATTTTAATTACTTTGAGGGTAAAATTGCACAATAAATTACTTTAGGCCATTGGGTGCACCTGACAAAATACTTGGGGGTGCTGGGTGCACCTTAACCCATTATTTTATTGTCATTTTAAAAGATATTCTATTATAAATATAAAACTCATTTTATAGTGTAAATCTTTTGATTCTACATATAAAACCCCCTTTATAGTACTACCTCCGGTCCTTATTAAGACCCTGTTTGACTTTTATTTTGGTCCTAAATATAAGATCCTGATCTACTTTATCTCTCATGTTTATCCACTTTTTTCATGATAATCATTTTAATAATAGTAGTTATAAATAACAAACTTGACTAGCAAGGATATTTTAGGAAAAACAACACCTATTCATTACAAATAACTAATTAACTAAGTTCATTAATCTCCCCAAATTAGTCAACTAGATCTTATAATTAAGACCGAAGGTAGTACAAATTATACTGCATGGTAGGTCTTATTTGTATTTAGGACTAGAGGATGAGTAGTAAACTAAGTAACGTAAAACCTAATTAACTAATTTAGAAAAGTATTTATTATTTTTTAAAACTAATTAGAGATAAGAGTTTCCTCCAATCCTATATATAAGCTTCACTTTTGGATAAGAGTCTAATTCAAAATATACACTTTATTTTTGAGTTTGTTTGAACATTTAGTACTTTTTTTTTTTATTTTGCCCTTCATTGATTGTATTCCTCTATCTCATTAATATTATCACATATAGTATCTTTACGTCACTTTTTTATTTATTGCCTCTTTTATTTACTCTCTTAATAAATAAAAACAAATTTAAGGAAAAAAAATACATTTCTAACATATTTATTATTTTTAACCATTCCCTCAATCTTATATATTAGCTTCACTTCTAGAGGTGGGATTGGTCTAAAATATAAGCTTTATTTTTTAATTTTTCTGAGTATTTATTACTTTTTCTATTTTGCTCTTAGTTGATTGTATTTAGTATTCTCTCTTATTAATATTATCTATGTGTATTCTCTTTCATTATTTTTTATTTATCATCTCTCATATACTCTTTTAATAAATAATGGCAACTAACTTATTTATTATTTTTAACTAATTTTAACTGCTGATTCATTAAATATCATTTGGTTATTTAAAGCTTGTATATAGGACCGGAAGGAGTAATTTAAATGGCTAGTTCGATAAAGGTGTGACTCCATTATTTGAAACTTATATATAGGATTGGGTGGAGCATAATGGAGTGAACAAAAACAAATAGTTAGAGTATTTTTATCATTAAATTAAATTTTCCGGGACATTAATGAGTACAAGTAAAAGCTAATGGGCTAGTGTTTCTTTTACTGCTAAAAACAAATATTTCTTATATATGAGGCCGAAAGGAGTAATTTAAAATGCCACTTCATTAAACATGATCCAGTTATTTAAAATTTATATACAGGATTGAATGGGGCATAATGGAGTGAACAAAAACAAATGGCTAGAGTATTTTTGTCGTTAAATTAATTTTTCCGGGACATTAATGAGTACAAATAAAAGCTAATGGGCTAATGTTTCTTTTACTGCTAAAAGTCCAAAACATCATTTTAGATTGATAAGTAACAACATATTATATATATATATATATATAATGAATTATTTTATTAAATATCAATTAAATATAATAGTTGAATATTCAGTGATTTAGATATCATTGTTTACAAATAGTCACACACAGTTACAAACGTAGTCATGTGATCCATAACAATGATCTTACACTTTTGGTGCCAAGAAAAAACATCTTATGCTTTTTAATGAATGTTCTTAAAGATATAAATTTTATAATTGTACAAAAAATGATATTGTGCTATTGTATTTCTATTCATGTTATTATGACTCCTGAACTTTTTTTTTTTTTGTTCTGCCAACCATTATGATTCTTAACTGGGTCTTTATGCGATTGAAGATTAACGATAAATGTACGCGATGCTGTGGGTGATGATTGATATAATTAGCATTCTTTATTTATCGTCTCCGATTTTCTTTTATTTTGTCAACATTTTTAATATTTCGCTCTTTTGTTCACAAACATATTTCACTCTATTTTACCATGATACAGCGAATTTTCTTTTTTCATTTATTACCACCTTCACTCATTAACATAAAGGTTAGTTTACTAATTTGAATATATTAAAAAAACTTGTTAAGTTGACTGTTTATAATAAATATTTGTTATCCTTCCTAACATACTTTTGTTAACCACGTGTATTAACTAGAATTACCACTTAATAGGATATTTAATATATGCAACTAATACAAAGATTATTTTAAAAAATAGATAAATATAAAAGACAAAGTGAATCGAAGTCTTATATTTAAGACCAAATTGATATTTATATTGGGGTCCAGAGCTAATATTACTCCCTGTAATCCTTATTATAAGATTCAAATAATTAATTCATGGATAACAAATTGTTAGTAAAAAAATAGTTAAACATATAATTTTATTTTCAAATATGCCCTTACAATAAATGAGAAAAACAAAGAATAAGCTTATAAAATGAAACATATTTCTTTCTAAATTTAAAGTTTATAAATATAATGAGCGAGTATTTAACTATTTATTAATATTTATTAATATCAGCCGTCGATGTGATCACTAGCTGGCCGTACGAGAGTCAAGGGTCTATACAGGACAGAAAGTGATGTCATAACTATCAGCCCCTTTACACTGATACCTGGGAGGTTTATGATCGCCGGGATAGGTGTGGGCCATGCTACACAATTCCTTGTTCCTCTGAGAGTACTCATCGGGCTGGCAGCTACTATCGCTGCAGCAAAATTTGGGATCCTTCAACGCATCACACGCACTGTAACATCCTACGTATCGACCCTCCTTGTTCGCCGCTACCAAAAATGAAGGGCACACGTCCTTAAGATCTCTGGCACAGTCCACGACCGGGCAAGGGCCGGATCCGTCCACCAGTGTCCCTCCACTGGGCTGGATCCGAACCCGCATGTTCTGCCCGTGGACTAGGCTCACTTCGTAGGATACGACCGGGTTGTTGATGTCGAAGTTGAGGAGAGTCACCGGGTAAGCGGGTTGGGGACCCGCGCAGAACAGTTTGCCGGTGCCGCAATCCCCGGTTTGGCATGAGAAGTAGAAGGAGGCATTGTTGGAGCACTGGGTCCGAGCCCAAATGGAGCCGGTCCAGCGATCGTCCATGCTGTAAGTTGTGTGGACGTCCGGTGGAAGTTCTGGCTCCG